AATAACAAGTCTTTCTTTGGACCGACTTATTACTCACAAAAAATACCAAATAATCGTCACACATTTATTATCACAAGTATGTTTTGATTTCGGCCAAATAATAACCTTCGTTTGGGCCGGTCATTATTAGCATAAAGCCAAAACACATATACTGTCACCTTGGTATTTTAAATTAATTAATCAATGTAAAAGACATCACTTTGGCAACGTATTGCATCAACCAATCAACTCAAAAAATACTAGATGTCTAAATATAGATTTTTATTTTTGCCATAATCGAATTAAAAATCATGTTTAAAAACTGAAAAATTTTATATTTTGAACCGATCAACCGAAAACAAATAAAAATGTTTTATACACAAGAATGTGTTTCAAAACAATTCGGCTACGCCAAACAAAATCAAAAATGCAGTAAACAATCGCAAAAAATTTCATTTATGAAAATAACTTGCTATTGTTTTCGGTCAGAGGGGTTAACAATCAAATAAAACGAGCCCAATTTGCTAAAGCATAATAAAAAAATATTTTCAGAAAACAGAACCCAAGATAGTGAATCCAAGTATGCACATCAAATGAAAAAGAAAAAAAGAACTAATATTATTCAATTAATTGCATAAGTCCTATATTTGAAGTCACTGAATCCAAGTTAATTTGTCCAGGATCTCTTTTGACCGAATCAATCAAACCAAAAATAATAAAACTTAATCTGTCCAGATGAGAACAACTTTTCACCATATTATATCAAACTAGATATTTATCCGATTTAATGGCAAAGAAATTAAAAAAAAAACTGCAACTTGACAAAAACAGGCCATGATATAATTTGATTAAACCAAACAACACGATTTATTGCAAGGAACCAGATCTGAAAACATTAACAACAAAACCGACTAGGGTTGCTTTAATCAATTAATGGTCAAAAATAGTAGTTATAGTCAAACAATAATGACCACCAAATTGCACAGGATAGTTAAACAAAAACTTGGCCATTTACATAAAAAAAAAAAAAAAACCATCGTCCAAATCTGAGTCATGCATCTAAAATAATATAAAAATGATACAACTCAAAACCATATCATGATTATCATCAAATTTTAATCAACCAAAAAACACATATCTTGCAAAAACCACAAAACAACTACGGCTTCCGAAACCAAACTAATAACCAAAAAATCCAAAAAAAAAACTTAAAATTCGTACGAGTACGATTCGAACCATAAAGGCTGTCAATTTGTTTTCAAAAAACCGTAAATATAAAACAGCTAAATTGAAATACATAGATCCTTATTTCCCAAAAATTTGACTTGGAGGTGGCTCTAATACCACTTGTAGGATTAAATCTTTTAGCCTAACACTCCAGATCAAATAACAAGAACCAAACTAATGCGGAAGCGTACCTGAATCCATTGCGGATGAATAATTTCTTCATGTTTGGTTTGATCTTTCAAATGATTTCTTTAACCAGGTAAAGAACGTGAGTTCTCAAACTGACAAATAGGGGGTAGTTTTGGCGGCGTAAAGACTCAACCGGGGACCACAACCAGTTATATAGTAGTAGGGTTTCTTTTTCACCCATCACAGAGAAGAATCCTGGTCTTTTAGGTTTTTACACAATGATGTCCACAACTTTAACTTAATTAATAATTAGCCCAAAACTTTAGTTAATATAATTTAGATTACTTTAATTGGGCTATATTTAATGATAGCATATAATATATAATTATATGTTTAGTGTATAAGTCCAAAATAACCTTACATTCACTACATTGCGGAAGAGGGTAACTGGGGAAAAATACTTGGACCGCATAATAAGGGAAAGACCCAAGTTTGTAAAGTGGGTAAATAAGGTACTAAAGTCCCATCAATCCGTGGTTTTGAACAAGTTTAAAATTTATTTTGATTTGGATGATTCCTATAAGGAGGAATTGAATAGGTGGGTTCAGTGCGCTTTGGACAGGAGAGTTCAAAGTCTGGAAGTGAACCTGTCGCGACACGGCCCCGGTTGTATTCCCCCCAATAAGTTTTATGTTTTTCGTCTTGCAATTTTCACACAGACATGTTGGAATTCTCTCAAAGAGTTGATTTTGAGATACATAACGGTCTTCAGGGACGATTTTGTATTCTTTTTGCACAACTGCAAATCCCTTGAAAGTTTGGTTGTGCATGGCTCTTGGGGTTTAAGAACTTTGAAAGTTTGTGGTCCATCTCTTGCATGATGACACTTGAGAATTAGCAGGTGTCCCTTGAAAACCCTTACTGTTAGTGATGTTAATCCTATGTTGTAAATTACCCTCTTCAGCATCTTAAGGTGGTTGAGATATCTCAATAGCGTGGTCGTTCGATAGAATTGGAACTAGTAAAGTACTTCCTTAGAAATGCAAGTTTCCTCAAAGACTATGATCTATAGACCACTTGAGACCAATTTCTCTTCATACAGTTGAGAATATTTCAAGTGGTCTTAATTGAAAAGGTCAAAGGCGAGCCTTCTCTTCTTATGATCCTTCGTCACTATTTTCCTGAGCATTCTTTTATGCAATGCTACAAACTAGCATGGGTAAGATATTTCACACCAAGACACAGCTTCATTTCTTGTTTAGTATTGCTTTACAAGTTACAGATTAGCAATGTATGCGGTTTTTTTAGTATGCATATAGGGTCAAGGAATCATTTGCTCTTTGAATGTCTTTTTTGATTGCTATGTGTGGAGTGTTCTTTGCTGCTACAATTTACTTCATTTGGGAAGCTATAGACAACCTCATTTCGGAGGAGAAACTCCTAAAGATTTCCAGATTTGCCAAAAGATTAATTTTGCTCTGAAGATGAATTTGGCAAGGATCAAGGAGATGAAGATACTGAAATAAGGTTTGGGCCCAAACAATGAAGATAAATCTAACCTTTGCTGCTTAGAAGAAACTTGCTTCTTATGATCCATTAGGCAGTGCTTTTGTGTATAGGTTGAGGTTAAGTTTGTACAGTATGACCTCTAACTAATGACTTTTGTTAGTACCGTAGGAACATGGAACATTGTAGATTGTACTCAAACTTCTTATATTATAAATGGAATGAAACAACTTTTGTCCGGGAAAAAAAGTGTATGGCTTCTTTTAAGTCATTATGATAAAGTTTTAAGGTTAAGTTCCTGCATAGGTTGTTATCTCTTACAATTAGGTTATCGTACAGTTGTCTCCATCGAGACTCATATACCAAGGCATTTCAACGTCAATGTTTGATTTCTAACGGACATTTTGTTAGATTTCTTGACAGGCAAAGCCAATGTCTGATTGATGTTTGCAAAAACATATTCATGTTTCTTCTTGCATATTTTCCCTCATAAAACAATGAACGAAATTCCCCGACCTAGTAGATAATGGTGAGTTCTTTCCTTTATTATTGTAATCTTGGATCACGATCTCTTCGTCCATTAATTTTCTGCTATATCGCAGTCTTAGTCGGCATAGCCGTGTGCTGTTTTTTTTCTTCAAGCACGGGATTTGTTCAGTTAGTATGAGATTTCATAAGCTCAAGGAACATTTGATAAAATTTTTCCATAATTCCATAGATTAGTTCTTTTTATTTAGGATCTGTTTTATTATCAAGAGTTGAAATAAGCAAACAGAGGGGTATTGAGAGAGAGAATGGGTGAAGAAAATAGATCAACTTAATAAAAGCAATTATCTATCTTTCGTATGTTGGTAGACTTGTCTTGATAAACTCAGTCCTTATGAACTTGCATTCATATTGGTCTGGTGTTTTTTTGATTCCAAAAGCTGTGATTAATCAAATAGAAAGGAGTTGTAGAGAATTTTTATGGGGAAAGAAAGAATCTGAGAAATGTCATTCTCTAGTTGCTTGGGAAGATGTATGTAAAAGTAAAAACGAAGGTGGCCTGCATATCAAGAATCCAGCTGTTTGGAATCAAGCCCTAATAGGGAAGCGACTTTGGGATATTGAAAAGCAAAAAGAAAGTCTATGAATCAAGTGGATCCACGTCTATTATTTGAAAGGGCAGTCAATTTGGAACTATGAATCTCCAACAGATAGTGGGTGGCATTGGAAGAAACTGCTGACAGTAAAAGAAAGGTTGAAAGATGGGCTGCTACAAGGGCTCTGGGATGGCTCTGATGGGAAGCAATATTCGGCTAAGTCGGGTGACAGTTGGTTGTTAGGAGAACAAGGAAGAAGTGTTGCTGCCAAGATAGTATGGGGGCAGTACAATATACAGAAGCATTGCTTCATTTGTTGGTTGGCTTTAAGAGATCGTCTGCTTACTCAAGAAAGGATGCTACGAATGCAGATGCTGAGGGAATCCATGCATTGTGAACTCTGCTCAGGTACAGTGGAGAATGTAGATCACTTGTTTTTTATGTGCTCTTACTCTCAGTCTCTCTTACAACTTATCCTAGGTTGGTTAAGAGTAGATTTGAATGTTAGAGTTTTCAGAAATAGTATTGGTAGGATTTTGAGTACTTGGAGATTTAAAAAAGTACGCCAAAAGATATTATATGCTGCAATTTCTACTGTGATATATTATGTTTGGGCTGAAAGAAATGCAAGGAAGTTCAAGGGACAAAAAATGGAGGCTCAGGTAAGAGCCAACATGATCCAGATGGAATTGAAATGGAGAGTTAGATTTTGTTGCAAAACGAAAAGTAGTGCAGACCTTCTGTATTTATCTAGTGTTGGAATAAGATACATGTAATAGCTGAGACTATAGGCTTGTACATATGCATTTTTGAAAGTAATACGAGGTTATTATTTTACCAAAAAATAATAATAATAATAAAAGCAATTATCTATTTCTGAAAAGAAAAATTAATCATTATATAATATCAGGTAGATGAATAGAGAGTTGACATCACTAAGGACAGTTTCGAAAAAGTAAGAGAATGCTAAAATTATTCTGGCTGAACAATCGATCTCTTTTTTATAATTGTATATCGATTTTCTATAAATGAAGCCGCAACATTAATAATCCAATTAATAAAGTACATCAAAAGCCATACAATTTCTTACTTAGATCTACTTAACTTGGAAATTATTTTTTTTACCTGTATATTTATGATGTATTTCTTGCTTTAACCTTGTTTTAAATTTTAATTAAAAAAAATTAATTCACAGAAAAACTTCATAAAGCTCGCAAGTACTAGGCCAAAGATTCTCTGTTTCCTCTACACTCCTCTTCTGTATCGAGTCTATTGCACTTCGCCGGTTCAGTCGCCGGAGGCAACAATCGAACGACCAAAACTTCGTTTCCAGGTACCTTTTCCCAGCACCCCAACTAACAATGCCCTTGACAGCTTCATTGATTCAAGCGCTCTCTTGTTCCACCCTTTTTTCTTCTTTCGTTTTCCATTTGGTTTCGTTCGAAACAGGTTTTTATTGATTTTTTTTCCTCTTCTCTGTTTGTGGTGGTACTTACTAGTTAAAACATCCGGGCTATTCTTTTGAGGCCGAGCAATCATGAGTTCTTCGGATTTTGAAACTTTTCCTCCCCTCCAGGTAAGCAAGAATTTCATGTGTAGCAATAACTGGTCATCTGGTATTGAAATAATTAGTTTAGTGTTTTGCTCGAATGTTATCGGGGTCGTTTAGCTGTTGGGTTTGCATGTCTGAATTAAGTTTTGAACTTTTCTTTGAGAAATTGGGGTGTCGTTATTTTTTGGGATTTTCAAGAATTAAATAAATTGGGGATTTTGAAATAAAGCATGGTTTTATTGATTTGTGAGCGGGTTTTTGTTTTCAGGATGTTAGGATGGAATTTCGTGCTGGAAGAATGCTTATGGAGGGAACACGCGTTGTTCCTGATACACGTAAAGGTCTAATCCGCATAGGAAAGGTACGCATATATGAATTGTTGATTTCTATGGGGTAGCCTTGCCACTCTAGTACTATTTCTTGTTGTACTCGAGTGAGTTTTTAAAATGGCATTTGTTTGTAAAATGGCATTTGTATTTCTTTGGAGTTTAACTTCTATATAAAATCATATTCTAACTTTTATCTGTTTCACGTTTGATAGGGTGATGAGGGACTTACTCACTTGCAATGGGTTGATAGGTCCACCAATATTGTTGAAGATGTATCTTTTTTCACTTTATTGTTTCTCACATAGATGCTTGTTATTCTTCCTTATGATCCTTGCCCGTGGTATGTAGTTTTGATAGTTGATGCATTGTTGTATTGTTTTTTGGGGTTCCTCCTACTTTGGGACATTAGACTTTGTAGAATTTAGCTTTTCACTAGCTTATGAATATTATGGTTCTTGTTATTGTCTTTTCTCAGTTAGACAAACATTGACGGCAGTTAAGATACTTTTATTATACTGATGACAAACATGATTCTGTGGATACTTGTGAGAATCATGTTTGATCTTGTTGGCTTAAGAAAATACCAACTGAAAATGTGAGGTTTGAGCTTGACTTGTTTAGTTTTGCGACTTTACTGCTGTACTAATTTCTCTCCTGTTGTGTGCACATCTGAGAAGTAATTACATCTTCAGATTAACTACTTACTTTATTTATCATGAGCATGCGTGAATTTCTTTTTTACAAGCACCATCCCTTTTAATGAACCCTTTTGAATTGATGTGAAACTTGCATTTCCACTGGAATGTCCATAAAAAATAGGCTTACTATTTAGAACTTTTGACTGGTTGCTTTTAGCCTCTGCTGTCTGTTTTATTTCCTACTATGAATTCCTTAACTGGAGTTAATACAGGATCAAATCATCTTCCCTGATGAAGCTATTTTTGAGAAGGTATAAAGCTTGAAACACCATTTCTGTGTTGCCTAATAAGATTGCCTTGACATAGTTCCTTGACATGCCTTTTTCATTATTTGGACTACTAGGTTAATCAGTCATCAGGAAGGGTATATATTTTAAAATTTCTGACGGACAATCGAAAGTTATTCTTCTGGATGCAGGTTAAGTTTTCTGTTCATTTTGTGAAAACTTGTCTGTTATTTCTCTTTGTTTAGTTTTTTTTATGGTTTTTTTAGATTAATAAAATAATAACTGTCTCATCCCAACATATCTTTTTACATTTTCAATACACCTTTTTACATTCCCAATACAAAAAACACCTAAAAACACACACTAAAAAAACGAAACAAACATACCCTAAGTTTCTTTTCTATACTGCAGGAGCCAAAAGCGGAAGATGATGAAACACTAAGTAGCTCAGTGAACTTCTACCTTAATCAACCACTAGGTAATAAAATATTTTGTTTTTTCTTTTCTTTCACAAAATTTTCTAATTTCTTGCAACTAGATTTACTTTTCAAACCGAAGCTGCAGGTAGGAGCTCTATAGATGGATAGGCAGGACATCACTTAGTATAGGTCATAGATGACACAGCAGCAGATTGTATGTGTACTGAAATTGAGGGAAGGACAGTTGAGATTGGAGTAGACGGCAGAACATTAAAATTGCAGTAGTTAGTCGTAGTATTTAGCTAATGGGCAGTTCTGGTTAACTAGTTATAGCAGCAACGTGTATTAGTGCTGTTGTTTAGTTGGTCAAATAGTAGTGATACATGGATAGTGATGGTAGCATATAATGTATGATAGTTTGCCTAAACCAGTATCTCGACATGAGTGTAAAGGTGAGATCTAAATAGATTTTAACTAATAGGTGTATTAAAGCTTGGGAAATATTTTCCCTTCTTTTCTTCTTTATTAAATTTGGGGGAGAGAGGAGCATGGGGATGGTAAGCTAGAAGGCATTTTTTTGGGCCATATAAAACATAAACTAGAAACAAAAGGAGCATTACAGTTAAAGGAGCAATGGTAGAAGAACAAGAATGGCAGAAGGGTGGTTTCAGAGGGTATGAAGTAGAGAAATAATGAGATATGTGTAAATTATTTTGTGGCGGCTTTGTTACTGAGGAACAGGGATTTTAAGAAATGTTGAGAAGGTAGTGATGCACCATAACAAGTAGCTGGTGAAGACCTATATATTCTAGTTACATTAATGCAAAGCCAGTAGACTTTTGAGTTAAATTCCAACTTTAAAATAAACTTCATAAGGGATTATGCCTGTGTATGTTTAAGGTGAACTGAGTTAAAATATTACTGGGAATATATTGGGTATGTTGATGTTGATGTTGATGTTGAGGTTGAGTTAAACTATTAATAAATTGAGTGGAACAAGTAGTTTGCAACATATCCTGCCAGCTCATCTCACTGGTTTGGGTTGCAATTCTGATTTGTCCCATCATCTCCTAGACGAGGTGATAAGTTTGAAGTCTTTGGTCTTGCACCAAAAAGCCTGTGGGATGATTTCCGAAGCAAAATCAGATAACTTGCTAGAATTTTACTGTATTTCAATGACATTTTGGTTTCTGAGCTTAAGAGTCATGCATCATTTTTTCTTCTAGCGACTTCTATTGTAATTGGTGTCTTCTATTCATTAATTCGCATGTTTGAAGTGAATCTTAGATGTTACATTGACATTTCTGATTAAATAAATTTTCCAGACGATGAGGAACCTGAGGCCTCTGTTCCCCAACAATCTGACGACGATGCAGAAGATGACATTTCATCAAGGTAATTTCGGTTCTTCTGATAATGTAAAACCTTAAGGAGTTAAATGTGATGATCTTGTCAAAAAAAATTGCGATTAAATGCATGCCGTTGTATATCTGAAACTCTTTGGCATGTTTGTAGGATCTTAGGATCTCTTTTTTGTTTGTAGGATCTTAGGATCCTTGTTTCTTTTTTCCTTGGTGATTATTATCCTCTTCAATGCACTTGTCATTGACAGTTCGAATGGCTGGTTGCGCGACTTTTTTGTGGATTGGAGTGCTTTTAGTACTTCTTTCCTTGCTTATGGAGACTACAAAAGTTGTAGCATTTCAATACAAATGGTCCTTTAAGCTTTTGCTTTCTTGAGAGAGACTCTTAAATTTCTTCATCTCTAAAAGACAAACTGGGAGTAAGGGGATAAGAGATGTACTTAGGTGATACTTAGTAGCTAAATTTAAGTACTTAGGTAGTTAGGTGACATTTGATACCGTGACAGTTGCGTTCATGGAGCAATAACCTTGTCCGACCTTATACAAGGTTTCAACATATGAGATGCCCTACTTAGCAAATGTCGTCGTGCTTGACATTACAAATCTGGGTCTTCTTGTTAAACCTTCTTAATCTCCTATTTCTCTTAGTTAAATAATTTATGTGTAGTTGTGCTTCCTTTGTTTGATGTAAGTTGGTATGAGTTTAGCTTATGATGCATGGTTGGCGCTGGTTCTTTTTTCATTAACTTTTTTCAAATATCATAAGACAGAAGAGCCTGACCTGAGAAGAAAATGACTTAACTGTTCTATTTTAATTGTTGAGAACTCCGAAAACATTTGAGTACCTTGTCTTTCTCGAGGAACTCTCGAGGAACTCCATTTCCCTTTATTTATTCAGTTATGAACTTGGTGCTGAAAGAAAATAACTGTTAAATATGCAATGTGGGTGCATATTGGACTAACAATTTTAGTTGGTGGGGATAACACCAGGACCTGTCCACATTTGAGGCATAGTACTTGCAGTGCATCACCAGTAGAGAGAAATCTTTGCACCACTAAAATTCTTGCATCAGATTATAACCATACTATTTCTCAAAGTTATCAGCAGTTGAGGATTAAGTTGTGATTAAAAAGTTATCTGTTGGTTTTGGAACTTTTGCCAGTGGGTAGGAGCTTGCGAAAAACTCCAGAGGGGCAGATACTTGGTAGGTAAATCACGTAATGTTGCCAGTTTTCTACTTCACCTCGAAAGAATTGGTTCAGCAAAACTATTGTAAAAGATTTAAGCTTATTGAGTACATGTTTTGAAATATCAGTATCTGTCATGTGCCTTTTAAGATGCTACATGTGCCACAAGTTACCATAATTTCCTGTTTAAAATGGCATTAATGGACTTCTAGAGCTGATTCCATGTTCCGCAAAACTACAAAAGGGAAGAGTGAATTTAGGTCTATCTTAATTTAAACCAAAGGGAAGAGTAACAAATTTGGAATGTGCTGGTGATATGCTTGAATATCATAGCATTGGACCATAAAGTGAAAATATCATTCTGTTCAGAATATAGTGGCATTGGTGGTGAAATATGATTCAAGTAACTGTTCCAAGTAGTGGTGGTACATGTGTTGTACTTGAAGTAACAGTTGCATTTTGAGTACAGACATAGCTCGGACTGTTAGTTTGAAACTGAAGAGGATAGGTATAATCTGTTTAAATGTTCGCACGTCTATGGAGGAGAAATCTAGGTTCATTAAATCCAGGAGCATGGTATTTTGTATCATATGATCAATAAAATGTGTGCACTTTTATGGAGAAGAGAAATTTTGCTTCATTGAATCCTGAATCATGATATTTTGAATTCTATGATCAAAAAAGTATAGGTCTTAATCCATGAGCTGGTTGTAACACTTGAATATCGTCACTTCCTGTTAGCTTTCAAGATTTTGAGTTGTAATTTTCTATGCAGGGCTGGAAATTTGGTTGGAACTAGTGTGGTTGGTGAAGCAGGTGGTGATGTAACCTCATCGGGACCTGTAAAACTGGCTGATTTACAAAGAATATTGAGTAATATAGGCTCTTCAGGTATTGCTCCCGAGATGGTTTCTTTGCTCTATAAGGTTTTAAATTGAATTATCTCTTGACTAAATAGTTTGACTATGATGATTGACGTAGGTACAGCAGAAGATCCAAATGCTGGTAAGATTCTCTTTGCTTATGTACTACATTGGATTTGCCACAGGGTTATAGCTTCCCCTTGGAAAGTACTTAAGAATGTTTATTGGAAGTCCAAATGTTGGTTATTAATTTATTAAGACGCATGTTTCCTACTTTCTACTTGATACGCCTACTGTTGAGTAGATTTTCAACATTATTTCTCCTTTTTAGTATATGTATTAGCATTTTTCCCGTGAACTTATCCCCGTAGATGGATGCGATTTCTGGTTGAAGATTTGTCTGTTGTTTTATAGCTCTTCTGAGAAGTGGTTTTGTTTGCAAAACCTTCGTATAGAAGTAGATACTTAAATATCAAAAAGGCTTTCTCCATTTAGCATCTTCAAACCCACTGAAGCTTGTAAAGAGTTTTCATTCTGTCTCTTGTTTTTGGAACATATTGTTGAAGCACTATTATATATTGATAAGATAAGTTTTAATAGAGACGAGCGTCCTTAAATTGTTCGACGGGGTTACTATAGTATAGCTGCAGTTGTCAGTTATTGCTGTTTTCTGGTTTATGAGTCGACATTTATTCATCTATACTTAAATTTAAGCCTGTTGATGTCCTAGGTTTGGGATTGGGAGACATTTTGAGGCCAGAGTTCATATTTCCCCTCATTCACGACCTACCAGTGGAGCAACAACTTGCATCATATTTACCAGAGGTATGGGGATTTGTTTTTAATCAATTATTAGTCAGAGAGACATTGCTTTTACTTGAAAAAGAATGTGGTGGTGCAGGGCCCTTGGACAACTGAAGATTTGATGGAGTTGCTGCAGAGTGCTCCTTTTCGCCAACAAGTGGATTCTTTTACTTATGTAAGAACCTTTTTTTCTGAATTTTCGATCCTCTTTTGTTTGCACTTTGCAGTTGTCTTCCTTCCTTTCCACACCTCTGCCTTTGACAACTTTGCACCTTTAGAGTAATGCTTTTCTGTTTCTTTATTATGTTAGGTGCTTCGGACTGGGCAGGTGGACCTTACTCAGTTTGGCATTGACCCAAGTCAATGTAAGTAATATCTGAAAATATCTGAGTCCATTCCCCACCCCTTCTCTTTCTTGCATGCCTTCATGGCTGGACCAGAAAACTCAGTTTTTGGTTGTATTTCAAGCTTATGTTTCTTTTTATGTTTGGAAAATGGACATCCTCCACTTAGAAGTGAATATCCAGCAGAGATTTAGGCATTGTTGATGAATTGTTTTGAAGTGTGTTTTGGGCACAGCATTGTTCTTCGCAAAGTAACAATACATGTGATGATTTTGTTTTCTATAGCTTATGGTTCCATATATTCCTGGGCATTATCGTGTCACTTACTGATTCTTCACATTTTCAACCACTGGCTCTTTGGCTCTTTAACCGTGGTCGTGGAACTTGCTCTCACCCATCTAATCTGATTGCAGACAACTTCACGGTCCCATCTTTCTTGGAGGCACTTGAAGATTCAGTTGCTAAAATGTCAGAAGCCAACGAGCCCAGCCGAGATAGCACTGAAATGTTTCCTCAAAGGCATAACAAAAGTGAACCTATGGATGAGGGTCAATGATATTGAGGATGATGCAGGCATGATTGGTACAGTTTTGTAAAAGGGCAAGAATCCCATGTTGGGTAGTTGCTCACGAATGGCAATCTATTTCATTTTGTAAGTATTGTGAATCAAAGGGTTGGTGGGAACTTGGAGACGGCATTATTACATTTTCATTTCCTTATACACAGATCATCAATAGGCTATCTTATCTATCTTGTTTAGTAGACAACTTGAAAGGGTGAGGTTGATTCATGAAGGTTTACTCTCATTTGTTACTCTTGAGGTGTGCACGAATTTACTGACCATCAAATGTTTCACAAACATAGGTTCTTTGCTGCTTTAGCTTTTGAAATCCATACAAATACTAGGCTTGACTGTGTTAAGTATTTCACAAATTGGCATTTTTGTTTTTGCTCTAAGTAGCTTTTTTTGGGTTATGATATGGTATCTGGTACCTGTTTTTTTTTTTTTTAAAACAAAATTAAAATTTTCGGTTTTTGATCTAAAACATCTCGTTTGTGTTTTGTTCCTCCAATTTGTTTTTGTCTGGGAAAATACTAGTCTTTTTTTTTCCCCTTCTTTTATATTATCCTTGACCTATAATCGGAAAAAATGGACCAAAGAATCGAACAACCATTATGGATATGAAATAGGGATGCATATATAAGAATGAAACTCTTCCAGCGTAGATCCTAATCGTCACAACCCATCACCATTATTTCCGTTCCATTAACAGGTATAAAACTTGTAAAAATTGTGCAACTTCCACCCGACTGGTAGATCAAGATAGCCGAATGGTCTCGAAAAGTGATGAAGATGATCATTGTCGATCGACGACGAAAGCAAAATAAGTGGATTGAATACAACCAAGAACTTGAATGAGTAGTCTCACTTGACTGAATCAGTCTAACCAGTTACGAAAAATAAGGAAATCGATCATAGAATCCAAAATTGATATATTCATAATATAATAGATTTTGAGTGTAGCAAACATATCACGCCACACTTCAAATAAATTTTTTGAAACAAATACCTGGTGATTCAAAATCTATTGCGTACGTGAAAAATCGAGAAACACACACCGGTAGTCATCAATTCAGCATTTTGACATATACTTTTTGTTGCCATTTGGTAATAGAAACTTTGTTGATGAAAGATTTTAATTATACACCAAAATTTATGTTACCAACAAGAAGTACTTCTTATGTCCTAAAATCATTGTTCATTTTGAATTTTTACTTTTAGTTTAAATTGTACAAAAAATGAAAATCCAAAATGAATAATAATTTCGGGACGGAGAGAGTATAACTTATTCAGTGAGAGTTGTCGTTGACTTGGGAAAAAAATGCTACCACGATGAAAAAAGCATAGCCCAAGAAGATCTCTAAAAAGAAAGTGGTAAAATATGAAAACGCTGCAGAGTTCGTTGTGGATTTCAGCTCCGTAAATAAATCAATTTGAACACAGTGAAACAATATTGAGATATTTGTAACATATTCTAAAGGAAAATTAATATGCGAACACTCAGAATGATTGATATTCTGTATGAACAACCAATCTTAAGCTATTACCCATTCAAAAAAAAAAAAAGATTCATTTGCACTTCTCAAGGATTCTTTTCCGTCATATTGCAACAGCCTTCATATGTCTATAGCAATAACCATCATCTTCGTTTTATTCATATTCTTTTATTTCAATTCGACAACCAACCAAAAAAAAAAAAAAGGTTTCAATAAGGTTATATAAAACATCCCCGATTTTAAAGTTAAAAAAAAAAAAAACAAATTATACCGATAAAACATCCCTTTCTGAAAGACGCCAATAAACTTTAATGCATGGGGAAGATTGCTTTAGCAATTAATATACTTATGCGCAAATAAACTAACTGTAATTTTCCCACATTTCACAATCAAATAAATTCCACATAAATATAAAAAGATATCAGATGTGCACAAGGTTGAACTTTTGAAGAATCAAAATAAGCATTGCAATGGAAGGTTCCATTTCAGCTTTCACCTACACATTCTAAGCCATGAAAAGTTTCATACCTTCCTGCAACATGGTCTCCTACCACAACATTTTTTCCCGCGTACTGCGAGATGAACAACGTTATCCGTGAAATGACTTTGAGCTACAGAGCCTCTTGAACTTGATGACCAGGCAACACACAACTTCTCTGAAACATCCTTGCATAACCGGTTATTGCTAAGATCCAACAATTGCAACTTCTTAATCTTTTTCACGGCGTCCAGGAGCTTTTCAAGGTAATCGCAGTTGGAACTCGGCTCGCTCTTCTGATGTGAGCTAATATGAGTTTCCCTCAATCCAGATGCTGCAGCTGTTCCCGTGGCACTATCATCATCGCTATCTGCAACTTCAAGCTCATTGTATTCTGTATTAATTGTGCAGGCCTCCATTGGAGCTGTACTATGCAAAAAGTCAGGACAGTTGAGATTTGCCTGCTTTAGGGGTGAGCATTCTTCCACTGGCATCAAGCAATCAGAGACATTTTCCTCTGGATGAATGTTCTCGGCCAAATTGAGCTCCAAAAGACAACGATTCTGAGACAGTGACTCGAGTATTCGGAGGATGCCAACTAGACCAAATTGGCATTTGTTCAACACCAAAACTTCTAAACAGCATGCCGGATGAGCGAGCAAAGAAGCCAAGGCAAGGGCACCCTGATTCATGCTTAGAGTTATATCTAAGAAATAATAAATGTCCACAGTTAAAACTTAGATTAATCTTGTTCTAACTCACTAATGGCGTGCATCTTAGATTCTTATGTCATTTTTTTCTACTTTTTTTAAGCTTTGAGAATTCATATGCCACTTACTTATCCTGCTCGAGTATTATTGATTGTCATCTTCCAATGCAAAAATGTGAGACTTCATTTATGAAAATTATTAGAAAGTAAAGAAAGGGCTAAATGTAACTAACAAAATCAGCATCCCATAACAGAATCAACTTTAGAAATTTACTCAGGTAAATTATTGCCATTAATTATCTCTTCCCTATCAACCCATAATGCTTAAACTTATAGCCATATTCATGTGTTTGGTTTAACATGATGAAAGTATCCCTAGGAAACTCAAGAATAACACCCAAGGGGGAAAAAATAAAAATAAAACAAACTTGTATCAAGATCCTTTGCTGAAAATAAAATGTACCTCTTGCCTGAATGGATTTTCTCCAAGATTCAGCTCAGAAATAGGATATATCAAAGAAACTTCAACATTCAACCTTATTACATACTGAGGCGTCAGTTCACATGATGATAGATCTAATTTCATTTGTTGAGTCTCATCTGACAATGACGAAGTTAAACGCAATGCGGCATCCTGTAAAGTATCTTCAGTAAATACAAGGGCAAGCAATTTCCCAACTAAGTTCAAACAGATCATGCTTTAGTTGAACATGCTAAAACTCACTGTTCCGATGCCGGTGCCTCCAACCACCAACCTCGACAAGGATGCATTCTTACCAAGTTTGCACAGGTTCTCAACAACCTTGTCCATAAAATGTTGGGGTAATTTGATGCCAGCTAGGCTGAGCTCTTGAAAACTGCGTGGATGAAGGCAAGTTGGTATTGGTTCACTAATAGTCTGATTGTAGCATCTAATGCTGAACATAACATGTAAAAGCACATAAAAGTGGATGCAAAGGCCCAACGTACCTCTTCAAAGCAGAAAGTTTAAGCAAAAGATCTACAATGGGTTTGACTTTTATGGAGTTGTATCCTGTTCAAAATAAAGAATCTCACGTAATAAGGACAAAGAAAATCCTTCAAACGTAAAGTCTTTATTCAGCTGAAAAGTACCTATGGACAAGTGTGCAAGTGAAGAAGATCCTGCATCAAGTGACTCGGCAAGCTTTTGAATTGTTTTGCATGTGATCGAACAATTTTCGATTTCCAATCTGCAAAGTGCTGGAACCAATAGGCCTTTGTAAGGACAAACATAATGAAAATCTTTATCTGACAAAACAGCAAACACAATAATCATACTTTTTTAGGATAATAATGACAAAACAGGTACATAACGTTAACTCTCTCGAAATGGAGAAAAAGAACACATTCAAAAGTATGAAAATGACCACAGAAACATAAATGTACTGATCATTTAAGCTAATTAAGCAGTCAAATGGTCAGTTAAAAATCATTCGAGTAAAGTTCCTGGTAGACTACTAAGATTAGAAACAGCAGAAAGTTCAAAAGCAGGTGACACAGTGACAATCATGGTACTCCAAAGTAACTACTCATAGGAAAAGAAAACTAAAAACAACTCACCTTGAAAGTTCTTTAATATGTTGGAAAGATAAGAAGCACATGAGTCAGTCAACCGATTACCAGATAAATTTAATGCTTCCAGTCGTGAATACAGTGCCGGGCAATCACAAATCTGCAAATATAAAAATTAAGAGGGCAATATGAAATGGCCTGCCATATATGCCTCGTAAGTTGAAACAATTATAATTGTAGGACCACAGCCAGAGATCTGGTTTGCAGATAAAGAACCACTAAAGGACATGAGAGATGAATTAATTCCAGTTATCCAGCTTGCATAGGCAGTGAGAGGTGGGGGAGGGGAGAGAGAGAGAGAGAGAGAGAGAGAGAGAGAGAACTCAAGGGTAATGGCTTTTGCCATATATTGGATTTCAGTGCATAAGGTAATGAAGAGCATGCTATATAAATGTCTGAACTATCCACCTAAGAAAATACGGTAACCAGAGTAATGGTCTGATTAGATAAATAAGAAACTTTTAATTTTGAAAGAGTGTTCAATGGCTTCCAAATGAATTGTAGGTTTGTTGAAGATGAAGACAAAATTGGCAGGGCAAATAAGTCGAGATTGATTCCCTACAGTGTGCATGCTTTCAAAATGTTAATAACTTGACCTTGTCCTATACATTAATCAACTTCACTGGAGTGAGCTACTTTTGAGGCATAAAAATGATTGGTTTTGCCATTGCTCTACTCATTCTCAAGCACTCTGCTGAGCCTCGAAAGAGGTTTAGAAATTATAAGAGAATTGGCTAAACTAAAATTGGGTTCTACTCTTTTAATTAGTGAAGAATAATGGATCACGAGATTGAAATTTTCCTAGTGCATTGCTAACAGTTCAAACCAGGCTGTCAGACAGCTATAGGAAGGTCTATAATCAGAAATGCACACAATAAAGATTCATACTTTGCTGACCATAGATCTATCAAACTCAAAGAAACCCAAATCTAGAAGTCATTGTCTCTTTTTCATAAATCATTGGGTACATTGATCAAAGGGGCAACAGAGAACAGAAATAAGGTAAAATAAAACAGAGCTGATCTCAGAGAAAGATAATGAAGAAACTTGATTAAGAGAAGTTAGATTTGTGGTATTACCTAGTGCATCTGAAAAGGTATAATTCATGGAAGTGCCCTTAATAAGAATTTTCTACCACATAAAAGTGCCTGAATAACCATAATTCTCATTGATTTAAGATAATGAATCCATCAAAACATAATAGGATAAGAAAAATGAGATCAACTAGTGCATAATCAAGACTCACAAGAGTAGACTATATGGCATGTCATCACAAGTTACAGCCAGAATATTATGAGAAACCGTATGACCTTTTGGCTGGTTAGAAGTACAGATCAAAGTGTAGATAAACTCAATTTCCAAAAGATTATTCTACAGAATGGAAAGTTAAACTTTCACATCATTCATATTTATCCCATGAAATAGTTAGATTGTCAACATCAAAACTTTTACTACAAAGTAATATATACATCTCTCACACCATCAATGCTGTTATTTCATTAACTTTATGCCATATTGTTATCTGCATTTTCGGTATTCCATTTGCGCTTTCGACAACCTTAACTCCATTTCGAACTATCATGAGTTGTTTATAATTTCAAGGAAAAAGAAAGAATCGAAGGAGAGAGAGCACACATGGAATAATGCCGAGCGACCAAGTGAATTGCAATGCAAATCCAAAGTTAGAGTATTGTCCCTCTGTTCTGATGACATAAGCACTTGCTTAAGCCTCTCCATTGCACCATACCCTGGTGAACAGCAAAGTCATTGACTAATGATAACCTTGTAGTTTTAATTAGCGAGTGGAAAGACGGTAAAATACTCAAATAAATATCAAAAGGAAAAAAAAAAAAAAAAAAAAGGTTACCAAGGCGATTGTGAGAAAGGTCTATGACAGAGACTTCTTTGTGTGCAAGCAGCGCATTAAGAAGTGGTGCAGCTGACACCTCTTCCAGTTCACAATCAGATGCTATAACTTCATCTTCTGATATCTAACAGCATAAGGGTTAAAGAATATAAAATCCTCTCGTCAAACTCATGAAATCAAGCCCAGAACATCAAACAGCTATGGTAATCAAAGCTTACCTCTAGATTATACAAGTTCTTCAAAACTTTGAGCTTGGGTTGTACAGAGAGCTCCTTGCAGCAGTCAATGTATTGTTTCATTACTCGCCTCGGTTCCCACAATGCTTGAACAACAATAACATAAATCTAAATGAGTCCCTTATATTCAGTGGAACAAAATCAAGGACATTCTAGTAAATAAAAAAATAATACCAAAAGATTAATATGGTAAAACTCAATGTAAGAGGCACGCTGAGAGCATAGAAGAAAACTGACTCATAAGTAAAATATATAACCAGCACTTAAGTCCAGGAAAGAAATTGCATCTTAAAATTTCATCTTTCGACATGATTTGTTTAAGAAAGCATGGTTTTCATTTTTAAAAAATAATAATAATTAAAAAAAAAAGCATGTTTCTCATAACATTACTAAGGGTAATAATAATAGCATGGTTCAGTAAAAGGATTTAGTACCAAACAAATGCCAAATGCAAAAATAGAACAGTGATACAACTCATAAATCTAAGAAGGTTCAAATGCCATCATATCACCTATTGAGCCTTCTAACCAGCCTCGTGCAGGTTTGTGATCGTTCAGTATATCAAGTGCTTCCAGAAAATCTAAGGTTCGGCCTTCATATATTATGTCTTCCACCACTGGTACTTGACCTGAGGTAAAATATGCATCAGTGCCACAAATGATTGTGAACCCTACTAAATCCAGTAAACTGAAAGTAAACACTGTAATAAACATGCCAAACAAACGTACATAAACCTATAGAGATAAGTTAAGCTGTTTAAAAAAAAGAAAAGAAAAAGTTAAGCTGTTACAGAAATCATGGTCAATCTTTTCTGAATTCTTATAAATAAGTGGTTCAAGCCGCTGTATTCTGTGAACTTCGGCAGCCTAATCTTTTCTAAGAATCAATCTTTTCTTCACTTATATAAAGGATTCAGAAAGATGATCCTTTGCAGTTGGTTTAACTGATACGTTTCAGACGTCGACCAGTGACAAAGGTTTAGTCCTTCTTGAAAAATTCACATCCACACCAACTTTCTTACAATTCAAATCATTCAAAATATTCCTTGATTTACAAGTCACAGCAGTGGGAAACTTCATAAAAGTCTCATACCTGTTTCTCTCTTGTTAAATGGCATTTGTAGGTAGTACAAGCATGCTGCTACAACCTTCATCTGCTCTATGCTCAGTTTATTCTCTGTCATGCATGATTCTTTGGGTATGTGTATGAAGTCATCACCAATTTTGATAATTATATGTGGCTGCAATCAAGAAACCAGGCAGAAGATACTTTTCGTAGTCATGTTAAATAATCCGAACAAATGCATAGAGAAACATCATTTAAAAGTTAAGATGATACAAAATAATGGACAAATAACTATAAATAAACAAAAAAGAAGATAGGCAAGATTGTATGCAGCTAGTTATCAAGATTGTTACGGAAACAACACAGTGATCTTGACATTAAAACTTGAACAAACATTGATATTGCGCCAATATCAGGTCTACGGACGGAGACTCTGTCTATTCTCAAGCATCCAGCTAAGTAATGATGCTAAGGGTCACACACCTACAGCCATTATGACTTAAAGCAGTAAATTTTGAGCTGATTAAAGATGAGTTCTAAAAAGTCAGTGGCAATTCATTCTCTCCTTTATTTCAGAAGTACAGTGGTATTTACTTTGCACATTCAAACATTGAGCCAAATAACAATCTAGAATCAAGCTATGCAAAGCTAGCATAAGAACTACATTGAAGTTCAAATAATTTCATTACCTATGGCAAACAATTAGCAGAAGAATTTGAATTCAAACAACTGATGACAAAGCATGATGGTATTAAAAACTACTATTTACACACTTACACAGTTTTCATCGGAACAATGATAGGGATTGAGATTAGACATATCATGTTCACGAGAAGGAATCTCAGGGGGGTTTGCACCAGAATTTTGATGATCAGATTGGTTGGTGTAAGAAGATCTGAAAGTTGTGGCATCTTCACGAGCTGGGAGAGAAGACATAGATTGGTGAGAACAGCTACTTTCTTCTAGAACAATAGGAGTACAAGCAGCAATGGGACAATTTGAGGCAAGAGGTGGAACATCCTGCAAAAACAATAAATAAAGTTTCACCCTTGGAAATATAAGTTTCACGAGATTTTGACTAATGATTAGCCTACCTCAAGTTCATGAACACTTCTGGTAGAGTTGATATTTTCAACTGCAAAATACAACAACAATTAACACCTCTCTTCTCAGCTCAATATCATCAAACAAGTGAAACACAAAACTTACATCCAGTTGAGGTAGTAGCTCCCTCATGGAAGCAATTAAGTGTTCTTCTGCCTCTATGATTTTCATCTTCTTGATCATCAAGAAGGATAGCACGATTACGTTTATGGCCAACAGCTTGACTACCTGAAGACATCGAAGCACTCTTGGGAGATGATTCAGGTAACTTGATTGAATCAAGAGTTGCTAGATGCAAACTGCTCAACTTTGTTGCTTTCTTTCCGGGGCGGAGAAATGCTTTTAAAGGAACATCTTCATTCAAGTCAGCTGGAAATGAATGAGAAGATCTGAAGGAATTAGAATCACTTTTACCCAGTGAAACACCAACTTCAGATCCCTCTGATGACTGACTTTCAGTATCTGTTTCAGTTTCAGGACAAACGTTCCCTGCTAAACTGTTATCCTCATGTTCCTTACTGGTCAAACGTTCTAATTTCTTTATTGATATTTGCAGGTTCCTGGAAAAAGAGTTTTGGTTTCAGGCAGCTGGCAGTAATGTATAACTTACTTGACCCCAGAAAAGCTAGAAAAATTCGTCTGTTGATGGGTTGACATGCAGAGGTCACTTATAAATCCACAAAAACTCAGCAGCAATGATTTAAAACAAAACAAAAACTTTCTACAGAGTCGACGGAGGGATATACATAGATTCTTTACTACCTGGCCTTCTCAACTTTGTCAAATCTCATCATGTAGCTGTAGTGCATATTTTCCAAAGCTGACAATTGAGCAATAGGAATGTTGGCTTCAGAGGCAATCCTGAATTTTAGGAAAACACCAGAAGACAGTTTAATACAAAACTGAGAAGATAATGTAAAGTATAACCTAAAAAGAACAATGCAGCATCTACTTAAAGACTTTGACCTATAATGGCAACAGACTTTTGGCAAGTCAGAATAATGAAAACACACAACTCTTCATTTTCCTGAATTCATTTGTAACAAGTAGTTGTCTCTCACAAGAATGAACATAAAATTCACAATGGAAGCATGTCATTTCTCTCTAAATGGAACAATCATATGGTACATAACTTCCACATTAAGACAAGGAACTCCCATTTTTTACCAGTTAGTGAACTAGGGGAATAAATTTCTGCATGCCCACAAAAAAGTTAAGCAGTCATTTCCACCTGTATCATATGTTTTTCAAAAGGTTAGTTTCAGTTCCGAGAATCTGTCAGTTATTCAAACATAGCCATTCTACTGAAAAAGAGTGATATTCAAATTTGTAAGAACACGAATCCAGCTAAACTTCCAAACCAGATGAACCAAGAGGTTACATAAGAAAAGTTAATTTCACATCAAACAAAGATATAACATAAAATCTGATGGCGCTTGCCTGTAGCCCTCTTCATAAGCCTTTAGAGCTGCCTTCCACGAACCACTAGAGTCCAGAATATTTCCCATTTCAATCTTGGATAATGCTTGTCCCTATAAGCATAGAGTGCACAAATTTAACCATCCAAAAACAAGAGTTTTATTGAATTGACTAAAAGGAACATGATTTAACTCTAGAACTAAATTTTGCAAATGTCTCTTTACATTGAGAAGTTTGGCGAGCTTCCATTACCTTTTAAATTATTTATTTTAACAGTATGTGGACATAAATCCATAAGAAGCATAATAAGTTACCTCCAAGTTTCCAATCAGTTTGTATGTTTCCCAACTCTTTGCATACCACTTCCAAGCTTCCTTGAACTTCCGGAGCTTTTGGTTTGATTCTCCAATAACAAAAAAGGAATCAGCCAGCTTTTCTTTGTCACAAAGTTCTTCCGCTATCTTCACTTTCATGGTCGCATACTTGAGATGCTAAGCAACACAAAATGCACCAAATTAGTAGCTTAGAAGTGATAGAGGAAACTAGAAGAATATAGACAGATTCCTTTCAGATATTACTCAAAAGCTAAACAGGTCCACACAATAGTCCTCATTTAGTTTTATTATCCTTGAAGCATGCAAGAAATTCATAGTAGATGAGATATTTCTTATCATCCCTACATAGTTTTGATGACTATCTCATTGATTAATAAGTGAAATGCCAACATGTGATTTCAGTTGATGGAAACACAGAGATTTGTTTCTGTGAAAGTGATGAATACAAACCAAAACAAGCTTTTGTGCAAAGTTTGAGGAAATAACATAAAAGGCCCATCAAAGCCATTTTTCACAATTGGTCATTATGGTGTATTCTCAAAATGTGTATATCAACAGTTGCGGCAATCCGACAAACCTAGATATAACCTCGACACTATTCAGATCCAATACATTTCTATTAATTCAAGGGCGAAAGTGTCAAAGGTTCCACTCAGGTTCTCATGCTCTTTCAGATCATACTCCAAAAGAACATTACAACACGTTTCTTAAGGGAAGAGGTGATGACAACAAAGGAGAAGTAGATGAGGAAGAAGTTTTGCCCACTTACCTCTTTCCATGCAAAGATCACGCGTGATTTCTCAATTAGACGATCAAGAAAGGTAAAATGTTGCAGTAAGTACTTTCTTTCAAGTGGAGTTCCCCTAGAGTTCTCAACGTTCCTTTCGATCTTTTTAAGATTCTGGGTATCTTTCTTTAGCTCATTCGCTACTTTCATTGCTGCTTCAACCATTTCAATATTTTCTTCAATCTGACTGACTAAAGCATCTTCATCCTCCATTGATTTCGCCAACTGAAGTGCCTTTTGATAACAACTGATGGCTTTGTCATATCTTTGAACCTTGGAGTGTAGCTCACCAAAATTGATTAAACCTTTGGCCTCCCCTTGGCAGTGCCTGATGCTCTCACATATTGAAATATCTTTCTTAATATGCTCTTCAGCTTTCTCCCAGTTCAAAAACTTTATATAAATCAATCCAAGGTTATGATGAAGCCTGCTACGACTATCATCATTCTCACAAACCTCTTCTTCATCACAAATCTCTAAACCTCTAACAAGAATTTTCTCGGCTTCTTCCAAGTTATCAAAATCTATTTCAATCATTCCAAGGTTATTATGGGCATCAACATACTCCCTAAGATAAAAACATTTGCCATTCCAATGGTTTTCCTTGAGCTCCTTCGCAAGCTTCATTGCTGAAGTGAAATACTTCTTGGCATTCCGACCCGCTTCATGGTCATCGTCAGACTTCATAAATAGTTCATGGTATGTCCGACCCAGTTGCGTACTAGCTCTTTGTTGCTCAATGAGGTTATTAGCCGCTTCAGCAAGTTCTAAATGTTTTTTCTGCAGCATGAGGACAAAATAACCCATAAGCTATCCTGCAAACATCTTTTTGATACTGGAAATTGCTTATAGCTCTGAGAAGAACCCACCAATCAGGCTCAGTATAAACATAAGGCACACAAATTGGATGCTTACAGAGAATGAAAATAACATTTCAAACTACATTTTGAGCTACTTCATAATATATTCACAAAGACTGATCCCCAAATTATTTCAATTCCAGAATAGAGCATCAAGACATCGATGAGGAGGATAGATCTTCTAATTAACTATGTAATTTGTTCTACAACCATCACAGAAAGGAATTAATGTAGTAAGATTTCCGAAAATTCCCTCTACTGATTTCAGTGATCCTGCAGTCTAAATGCTTTCAGTTAAACCCTTTTAACAAAAAATGCTGAAGCAATTTTCTATCAGTGACAAATCAAAACAACATCCAATATCGCGTCATCAAATTGCTGCAATAAGATTGGAAAAACACCCACTCGATGCAATTGAAATTCGTTCGCTCTTCTTACTCTGATTCTATCCAAAAATAGCCATTTAATCAGCATAAAATAACCAAATTCAAGTCCAGTGTAGAATCTAAGTACAACACAACGCAATTTCATCAATCGACACCGAAATGAATAAGAGATGCAGCTCACAATCAGCACAATAGATATACAACACGGAGATGGAAATTGGAACATGGAAATCGAGGATTGCGTATTGTAGTACAATTCGAGCAGTTCAAAGTACAACAATTTCTTGTTCTTACCTGGTAAGCCAGGGCTTCCTTATATTCTTCAAGGCGGAGGAAGAGCTCGCCGAGGGTATTACAGGTAGGAAGTATGTCTTTCTCCGGCAAAAATCTTTTCGACACCTCATAATCTTTTCGGATCCATTCGAGTGCCTTGATGTACTCTCCTCTTTCCTTGAAGATGTTTCCGATGATATTCGCCCACCGTGCTTCCTCCTTCCGATCACCCACCGCCACCGCCGACTTATATGCCCGCTTCGCCGATTGGAGATCATGTTCGTCAACGTTTTTCCGCATTTTTTTGGTGTATGTGTGTGTGACTGCGTGTTGGAGAAGATTTGGAGCCTTATATGGAATTGTTTGGGAATTCGAAGGGGTTGATTTTTGGGTTTTGAAATGTTTAGAAAAAAAAAAGGAGGGAAAATGGAGGCTTCCCCGCTCTGCCTTTTTTCAGGTTGGGACTTGTTCTGTTTAATTATGGCTACTTTTGGAAATTGTGAATGAAAAATACCAATAATAAATTTTAATAAAAAAGTCCATAATTGAGTTAAGATTTAAAGTCCCTAACTGGTCCCATTATATTTGGCTGAAAATAATCTACTTCCTCTGTCCCAAAATTATTGTCCAATTTAAGATTTCACAGTTAGTACAATTTGAACTAAAAATGAAAACCTAAACTGGACAATAATTATGGGATGGAGGGAGTATGTCATTGAGGAAAAATATATAGTACTGTTATAGTTAATAGTTGCTGTTCTATGTTTACTACTCCCTCCGGTCCTTAAAGTCATTTTGATTTGTCCTAAATTTCACCTAATACGTATTTTTATTTAACGAGAAAACCTTAAGAATATATATTCACATTGGTTATGTTCTCTTGATTGTTATAAATATTTTTAAACTTTTTTGGTCAATTAAAAATGCGTACTAGGTGAAATATAAGACAAATCAATATGTCTTATATTAAGGACCGGAGGAAAACAAAAACACTTTGGTTAAGTTAAAAATAAGGGATATCTACTACAATATTTTTTTTATCTCTACTTCTATTTTTTTAAAAAATGTTGCATTTGTGTGGATCTAAACTTTTTTTTATATATATCACACCTCATCAACATAAATTATATTCTCCCTATCCTAAAATTATTGTAAAGTTTGAATTTTCATTTTTAGTACATATTGAAGTTCAAGTGAAAATCTAAGTTGTACAATATTTGAGACAGAAAGAATATTTCTTTTTCCAATTTCACCCTTACTCTCTCCCACTTTAAAAAGTCTGTATTGATAATTAACAACTGCTAACTCTTTTTCTCGATTTTTCTTTTTATCTTCTTTATAATTTTGATATATTTAATTAAAAGTAGCTATTACACATATAAATTAAATTTTTAATTAGTATTTTCTGAATTCATTTATACAAAGGACATATTTTTTAAAAAAAAGAGATAAGAACCAACTAAAAAGAGTTGCTCATTTTTCGAAGTTGATGACTTGTAATGTAATATACTGGACAAATGATAAATTGTACTCCTTCAGCCTTCTATTCTGAAATTATTATTCACTTTAGGATTTCATTATAAGTTAAATTTATACTCCCTCTATTTCAATTTGTAGGTTGTTTTAAACTTGGAGAGATTTTTTAAAATGTAAGTTGTTTTATAAATTATAAGCAAATTAATGACTAATTTTTCAATTTTACTCTCAATAAATGATGCCAATCTATTTACATTTAGTCTTGTTTATAGTTTCAATGAAATTAATGAAGGATAAAATGTATATTTAACACATAAATTAATTATTGTATGATTGTTTTCTTAGTTTACGTGCAAAGTCTAAAGTGACTTACATTTTGAAATAAAGGAAGTACTAAACATGAAAAAATTCAAATTAGACAATAATTTTAGGACGGAGAAAATATCAATACGATGTTCCAAGAACAACCCCCAACTAGTAAACTAAGTAACTATTTAATGAGTAGAACAGATTTCCACATTTTTTTATTTTGCTTTTTTTTTTTTTTCCTGTTTTCTCGCTATGTGTATCATTGGTCGGGCTGAAGAAATTGAAGTATTGGCCGGAAACCATAAAAGTGAAGAGCTCGAGAGAGAGTGAGGACCTAGGATTCTAATTATTTTACGAACACTATCATTTGAGCAAAATAAATAAATAAAAACCGTCACTATTGAAATTTTTATATATACTTTATCATATTTGTTATATTAAAATGGGTGTTCACTCCGTCCACCAAAGGGGGGAAAAAAAAGTAATTTATTACGTTTTAGTTCAACATAACGAATATTTTCTTTATGGAAGATGGGAGGAGTAAAAAATGGGACAAAGTGTGTCCATGTTGGACTTGGACATTGTAGAAAGAATATTGCAATATTGCAACTTTGACGAGAAGGAGTTCACTGGCCATTGATAATTAAAACGATTTGCCGGTCGCCGGTAGGCTATTTGCTAGCAATTAAGCTAACTTTTTGGGATATCCAGTATCCACATTTAATTGGAGGAGAATGAAGGTAAAAAGAAACTATAGAATAAATAATATTATTGGTAAATATTTATTTTAAAGGGGTTAGTTGGAGATATTCTAGTAATTTAATTATTTTATTTAAGTATTTTTTTAAACTGTGTGTAAATTATAGAATCACATTTATTTTAGAACTAGTCTTTTACGTGTGCACATAAACATTTTTTTGCTCTGCTGTTTTATATGAATTTTGGTATAATTCACCTTTTTTTGAATTTTTCTCTTTACGCTTAGTAGTGCCAACGAATGTATTCTTTCATGCCTTTTTAACAGTTAAGAATCCAGCAACTTTGTCATCTCGAATGCGGAATCTTGATCACCCGATCACCCATAACGCAAATATATATCTAAAACATCGCTTAATTCTTTCAGGAAAGTCTGCACAAAAAATCTTAACTTGGTCTTCATTTTCATAAAAATTCTTTCAGGAAAGTGTGCACAAAAACTGTTAACTTGGTCATCATTTACATAGGATCTACTATGCTCTTTGTAGCATCTGGTAGCTTTGTTTACATCCGAATATAAATCAAAATTCAGTTAGTAATTTCCTAATCGTTATCCTATTTTGGTATAGGACATAATCACATGTTGATGGTGAGGGGGTTGGGCGGTTGGGAGTGTAAAAATGAAGAGAGGGTAGCTTCGACGGTGAGTGGAGGTCATACTATTTACTGAGTAATCTTAAGAACTAAGTGACATTTGAAATTTGTCTTGATTAAAAAATATCAAGAAATGTCTGAAAGAAATTAAATCTAAAGCTCAGAAATATCAAGAGTCTAGATAAATTCAACATAGCAACACATTTCCTTATATCAATTTAACTGAATAAGGGCATGTTGGATCAAAGACCATATGTTGCAAGTTCACTTCTTTCCACTCTTCTTTAGCCCCATGTGTCAAGGGCTCCCTTTAGCCGCTTTAGCTTTGAGCTCTTCAAGCACCAGCTTTAAAGGGAGAAGGGCTCTCACGTTCGGTGGCAGCGTGACCAAAGCACACAAAAGAGGCACACGCAAGGATAATGTTTTCTTTCCAAAAGCCAGGTGGAGTTCAGGATTGGTTCTTTGGTTTACTAAGTGGTACTTATTACATGGAGCCACTCTCATGAGCTTTTCTTCGTTCTTCTAACCCAAGAGAAGAAGGGTGAATCCAATGCTATTCATAGAAGCCGATAAAGAACCTTTGTTCTTCCATTGCCAATAACATCAGTTATGCTCATCCGGGCATACTACAATCCTCTTGTACAGATCTTTTTTTACCTCTATGACAGCTTATATTCACCTACAAAGAGTAGGCTTCAAAAGCAAGAAGCAGCACCAAGAAAAAGATCACAAGCTTACTTCAATAAATCAAATTTTTGTTCAAATAAAAAAGACGGAAAATCCCAGATTGGAAAATGCAGTAGAAAACCCAATTCCATCATGGCAGCAAAACAAATCTAACTAATGTACACATAATTTCGGTGCAAAGTAATATACTAGCTAGAAGTAACTAGAGAAGCTAAAAATGCTAAACCAATTACATAATATAGGGTAAATGTTATTGTGAAAATAAAATATCTGTGAAAACAAAGGCCTAGATTTGTATTATTTTCCAGCAAACAAGAACCAGAGCAATTTTAAAAAATACAATAATTACAAGCAAGCAAGAATTATGTCACAACACACACCAGTAGCGCATGATTTGGTCCATATCATCCCTACACTCCATAACATTGGAAAAAAATGATTAAAAGAAAAACTATTGTTTTGAACGTGGAAAGACAATCAAGCTGACAGTTAAAATGAATCTATTCCCTCGGAAAATGAAAAGTCAGACAAAATCAAGTTCGAACACAGCTATACATGCATAACATCTAACTTAAAAGTTGAAACACCATAAAAGTTGATCCCCAAAACCTAAATCGCCAAATCCAATCTCAAACTGGAACTTACTTCGTCACTAAAATCATGAACTAAAAGCCTCATAAGTTAAACCATCTAGCAAATAATGCACTCAATCCTATAATCTAAACCCCTGAACTCCATCAGAATTTAGCATAAAACATCCATGTTTGAAAAGTATAACATCTTTTGAAGCTTCATTCCAGATTGAGTGATGATGATAGCACATAAATATTTTTCTAAATGTCACAGGAAGTGAAAAAGAACCAGAAGAAGAATCTGATAGCTTGAAGATGCTGACTGAGTCTGTTTACTTGATTCTGATGGCACATGTGAAAGTAAAAACTGTGAATCTTTTTAAAGCACAAACCACAAAAGGTCCAGGGTGGTGCAAAATGAGATGAATGGATTACATGGTAGGTCCAAATGACTTATAACCAGATCTTCGTTCTTAAATCCCACCAATTGAATAAATCCTGCACCATCTTTCTCAAACTTCACACCATAATCCTGACGATATCACAAGATAATTGGTTCTATGTGAGAGGATGCAAAATATCAAATTTGAGTAATAGAATTATTATTTACAACAAAAATTCAGGTATAATAAATAAAAGAAAACCAGATAAAGAAAACAATTGAAGTAAAAATAAGCATTACAATGTATTATGTCCAGAGAAATGAGAGTGTCATAAAATGGATAAAAACAAAATGGGACAAACATGAACTATCTACAAACTTAACTCAGTTCATAATCTCTTTGCCGATTAAGTAAAAAGCAGAAACTATATTCTGAAAAAAGAATACCTGCAAGCCTTCTCTTTGAGACAGAAAAACTACATCATTGTACCACCTTCACCCAATGGCCGCTTGCACTACCTTCAGTGCCAAAGACCATATCAGGGGTAGAAAATTACAACGAAATCAGAGAATGAGTATGAAAGTCCACAAATATGGAAGACACAACATGTATCTAGTAGTCCATCTTGTAATGAGTTGCAGTTTAATGGATTTATAATACATAAAACTACTTGAGTTAGTATTATATATGCAAGTTGAATTCAAATTACTTGCGTCAAAACTTTTTAAATGCCAGAACAGAATAAATTGAGTTAATCCTAATTGGAAACATTTGTTGCTGGGATTCAACATAAATAAACAAGAAACTTGAAACGCATGAAGAAAAGAGAAAGTACAACCGGACTAACCTTCAAGCACAGAACCCAAGACAATGTTCTTGCAGACAAACTGAGGGCATGGTCTAGTGATCAAGAACATCGTATTGCCTTTAACCAAAATTAATTTGAAATGGTATTCAGAGCTAACTCCAGGCGCAAATATGACCTAGCACTATAGTCAGTCCACTCCAAACATAACAACACAAAAGACCCAAATCAATAAACATGTACAGAGTATAAGCATAAAAATAACATACATCTCCTTCTCTGAAGTTGGATCGAATTGAACTGACCTCGATGATTTCGATTGGTGTTTCCCCGTAATTGGTAACATGCGGCTTCAGTTTTAACTCAAAAAATCAGAATTTTAATGGGGTTTATTGTTTTCGTTTTCTTCTCCCTCATCGGTTGGCAGGTTTTTTTACATAAATTTCACTACTTTAGTTTGTGCAGTGTTCTTTGGACTGAGTAAGATTTAAATCTGGAAGTCCCAAGTACAGCTTTCGTCCCAAACATTGCTTCATTATCCACTCAAATATGCAAATTATGATGAATATACATATGCAAACTATAATACAATAGTCAAAATAAATCAGATTCAATGCCTCTAGAAAAATCAAGGGCCAACTTTTTGTAAAGCACCATGTCAGTAAACTCTCTCTGTTGCTTCAATAACTGAATTATCAGCTTTTGAAATTGAGACCACTATTCAGAGCTACAGAAGCTTCATACCTTTAAGAGCAATTTTACATATAAGAGCAGTTATACATCAAAATCTCTGAAGGCGCAAAGCAATTGACTCCGAATCTCGAGGGTGCTTCTGGATCGAAGATAGGAGCAAGTAGAATCAACTGGAAGGCCGAATTCAAGAGAAGAGAGTAAAAGAGAGCGGAGAAGCATCGACCATCGGCATAAATTCGCAGGGGTTGAGAATAACGGGGGGAGGGATTTTTGCCTTATGTAGGAGTTTCAGTTTGGGAAGGAAGACGGAGAAAAGGACATCGTTAGTGGAAAATTATTAGTGGAAAACTGAAATTATGAATATTTGTTTTTACCCCTAATAAGTCGCTGACGTCATATCAATCCCATCCGACGGACGAGATCGCTTTGACGGTGGTCTTTAATATTTCTTGGGTATTATTTCTTGTCTATTGTGCCTTTTATCTAAGTATAAGGATGAAGGGAGTAAAAAAAATACTACATCGATGTAGCAGTGGAAGGCCAAGGTGATCAATCAATTTATCAAAATATATGAGGAAATTAATAAATTCTTCATTCATCACTAGACACATAAACCAAGAAATACATGAGGAGCAAGTATCAAGTATGAAACATTTTTCAAAGAAGAAGAATACTAACAATTAACAAGAGTGCATGCAGACAGACACATTTGCAATATATTTGTATACATGAATACATTTATAGATTTGGAACACAAAGTTGAAATTTTATTTCTTTTTTTTTTTTTTTTGAAAATATCAATAGACTATACTGATATTAAGAGCACATCATTACAGAATAATTACACGGTTAATGACTCGTATTAATTCTGACAAATATCACTTTCTCTATTCCTTCCGATGTATCAATTGGACAAATATTTGTCTCACAAAAGAATCTTAATTTAGATTCCATCCACGGGTTTGCAAAAATGTGGATGGCGAGTGCCTGATCGAATTGATCAAAGATCAGGCCTTACATGATAAGGGTACTCTAATTATTTGTTAAAGTAAATACACAAACACCATGTTTAGGACTGACTTGATCGTTTTAAAACAATTCAACAGTAGAGAACTAATTGTAATGCAATAGTTTTTAATTGTATTTCTATTTATCATATTTCATTCAATCTATATTATTATCTTATACTCCCTCCGTCCCATAATTATTGTCCAGTTTTACTAAAATAAAAAATTTTATTTTTGGTCAAATTTAACTATATTTTACCTTAAACAACCGGATATACCCCTACATAAGTAATTATTTAACCACTAAGATTTTATGGATAATGTTTTTTACTAAGGACAAATGTGTAACTTGATCCATAAAAAGTCAAATTGGACAATAATTTTGGGACAGAATTTTTTGGACAAAGTGGACAATAATTATGGGACGGAGGGAGTAATATATTTGTAACCATCAAAATGTGAATCGTCTAAGTAAGAGCGAGCTTGAAACTTGAAAATTTGATATTCGTGAGCCAAATTCCAACCAGGAAATTTTTCTTTTCCTATTTTTACCAGGGTGATAAACAAAAGCAAGCTTCAAATCTTTATGGAGTAACGGTTTCTTGGGAGCTAGGGGCATTTCTCGGCTATAAAAGTAGGAAAAAACATACGACAGTAGCACTGTAATAGTTGGTAATACAAAATCAAACTCCCTCTCTACCATTTCGTAAAAACAAAATAAAAAAAATCTCTCTACCATATCTGTTGGATTTATAGAAGATCATGGGGTTCCACCTCAAAACCAATTGGTAATGAGAGGAGTAGCTCATGTATCTTATATATTAATACAGAGTCTCTCACGACACCGATATGGAACAAGTGTTTTATTAGGATTTTTTGAGAAGAGCAAAAAGGAAAAGAGAATAGGCCGAATATCTTTTATTGACAATGTTGTACCTTAAACTCAAATAAATGTGTAGTATTTACAAAATATCTAATTAAGAGAAAAATTTATAAAATAAAATTTTCCAAGTCTTCCATAGACTTATCACTAACTCACTTTGACTAATTGATCAATTTTAACCAACCAAAATAATAGTGATTCTTTATAGACTTATTATTCTATTATGAATCATATTTTTAGCAATTTTTTTTGGGGGCGGGGACCACATTACAGACTTACAAATTAAATATCCAATAAAAAGAAAGAAATGTGAAAACAACAAAATGAAAAAGGTCAATCTATTGCGGTTGGTGAACAAGATTAGTAATATAGAAAACTGGCTTGCCCCAGAAACTTCTTGATCGATCCTATCTTATGAGAGGTATTAGAAAGCACTCGCCAACAATCAGCTGCACATTGTTACAAAAGGAGAAAATGAAAAATGGTTTGTTAATGATTTGATTAATTTTTTATAAATCTTAAATAAAGAGACTGAAGAGTGAAAGAAAGTTCCTGAGAAAAGTTCGGTTGACTGTCAAATTGAAAATAAGATTTTCTATAATATTTTGTGTAATACTCACCGTGACACTGATTAAATGGTTGAAACATGTTTAAGTAATTAATTACAAACACCCATAAGTGAATTATGTTTAACAAATGATTAAACACGTATCAAAATTTTAATTAATGTCACAGAAAATGTAACACAAAGGTATTACAGAAAATCTTTTACTGTAAAATCGCCATTAAAACATGATGTTAGCAATTTAGCAGTATCGGGTAACTCATTTTGTGAAAGTGTTTATTTTTAGTTTCGTTCAGATCACTCATGAATTTCAAGAAAATGACAAAATACCTTCCAAAAAAACAAGTAAAAGTATGTTGTTTCTTCCTTGCTTCCCACGTCAACGGATCTGGCACGGCTCCAAAGTTTCAAAGACAAAAATAAGTGACCAACAACCTGGACATTTACAAACACAATACCAAATTAATTAATATCAAAATTCAATTAAGCGAATTCCAAATTAATACCAAATTAATCCTTATTTGAGATAAATAAAACAAAGTATTAATGGAAAAATAGATTGTACTGTATCGTATGCGGATGATATGGAAAAGCTAGTTCAACAAGAAACTTAGTTTACTGGCGTTCCATAATCAAGTAATCAGATGAGTTTCTCCATTATTAATTCACTGATCTTCCTTCTTTTTCTTCTTCGTTTCAATAATTTTTTTTTTAACTTCCTGTTCTATTGCAAACCGTTGATGTAATTTAGTTTGCTATTTTGAACACATGACCGTGATACCCATGTGAAATTTTCCTTTGATATTTAAAGAAAAAATTAATAAAAAATTTAAAAAATAAAAAAAGAAAAGCAGAAAAACACAAAAAGAAGCCACAGTGAGAGGAAAAGCGTAGGAGAGGGTCTTACTGTTACGAATTTGCTCCAATTATAGGAAGATGTCAATCCGACCGAAACACCAGCAAGAAAAACAATTTGCAAAAGATAAATGCAAATTGAAAACACCTGCAAAAAAAAAAAAAATACAATTCGGATTTGGAGGAGAGGAACAGCAGATGAATCGACAATCATATGCAAATTTTAACATTATTGTTTCATATAACTAACCTTCTTCGCTCCGAATTGAACCGCAAAAGATCGGACACCATGTATCTTGTCTCCAGCGACATCAGGAATGTCCTAAAACAAAGAAATTCGAATTTATTCATGAGTCATGACCGCCATAAGGTGGCAAATCAGGAACACTTGAATATTAGCATGCACGATATCTACTTGATTATAACAATGACATGCATATATATGGGAAATTAGTACTTCCTCCGTCCCATAATTATTGTCCAGTTTTACTAAAATAAAAGATTTTATTTTTGGTCAAATTTAACTATATTTTATCTTAAACAACCGGATATACCCCTACATAAGTAATTGTTTAGCCACTAAGATTTTAAGGATAATGTTTTTTACTAAGGACAAATATGTAACTTGATCCATAAAAAGTCAAATTGGACAATAATTTTGGGACAAAATTTTTTGGGCAAAGTGGACAACAATTATGGGACGGAGGGAGTAATTAATACTCAAATACAGTAATATTATTTCTGTCTCTAAATGATTGTTCAGTTTGATTTTTTTTTTTAATTTTGAATTTTCATTTATATTACTAAGGGAACCAACAAAAGGAGTAAAAATTACATAATATAATACCATAGGACGCTGTAGCACTATATATATGAAGGTATATTAATTAACTCTAGAATTGAACTTCTAACTATAGAAAAGAGCAAAGAAAAATTAATGAACGTCTCAATCTTGTAGTTTGACAAGCTTAAACATTTGATTCAACTATAATAAAACTCTCCAATTTCGCAGTTAGTGGGGGAAGAGCTTAAGAGTACCTTCAAAAGTGCCATTACAACTGTAATGATGGAATAGAATATCATGGCAAAAATTACAGGCTTTGAGAAGTGAGCTGGCCGACCAAATGCAAAAGTCTGTAACATCAAGCCAAGTAACCATGTCAAAATAAGCATGTTTTGTAATAATTCTCTATTCTAAATAATTATCTGTCTCAAAAAAATAATTTATTTTATTTTATTATTTTTGTTCGTAAAAATATTTAAGTTGTTACAGTTCTCATTCACATACAACCGTAATTAAAATATATTAGAGAGATTTTTGCAAACCAAAAAGGACATATCCCGTTTGGAGTCCGTATTCAGTGCACCCGGGTATACCGTATACCCTCACCAAACACACGCACTACACGCGCTCAACATGTTTCACCTTTACATTAAATGTACAAACAAAATTGTTTTCATCCATTTTACTGTTTTCATCCTCACGCACAAACACACACAATTGCTGATTATCCATAATTTATTGATTATCCATAATTTTGTTACTGATTATCCACTAGATCTGAACTGGTTATCCATGTTTTCCTGCGTGTGCTATGTGATGGTTGTCCATGCCATAATTGCTGGTTATCCACCCATTTCATACTGGTTATCCACAAGTTATAAACTGGTTATCCAGAAGGTGTAAACTGGTTATCCACCTATTTTATACTGGTTATCCAGAAGGTGTAAACTAGTTATCCACAAATTATAAACATGTTATCCACAAGTTGTAAACTGGTTATCCAGAAGGTGTAAACTGGTTATCCACAAGTTCTAAATTGGTTATCCAGAAGGTGTAAACTGGTTATCCATGCTTTTTTTACATTTGATTCTATATGGCATGTTCAAACTGAACTGTTAATTGTTATCCACAAGTTGTAAACTGGTTAACCGGATCCTGAATTAGAGGTAAAGAAGCAAACGACATGTTAATTGGAAGCCCCCCATGATAAGCTAAACGACTCCCGCGGCTACCGGAATCGCAGGTCACCAACCTGCCCCGGCTGCGCCGCCCCGCCGAACACGCCAATGTAGCTAAGGTAATCCCTTTTTTGTGTGTGTGTAAGGAGAGTGTGTGTGTAAGGAGAGTGTGTTATTGCGTTAAGAGGGGATACAAATTAACTAAACGACGGGGCGGTGTACCGCCGGAATTTGCAGGGGCACCGAAAATGGGTGGATAACCAGCAAATTGTATGGACAGGTAGCTACATAGAAGCACATCTAAAAAAAGTATGGATAACTAGTTTAAAATAGGTGGATAACCACAAACAAAGTTTGCATAACTAGTTTACAACTTGTGGATAACCAGTTTACACCTTTTGGATAACCAGTTTACAACTTGTGGATAATCAGTTTACACCTTGTGGATAACCAGTTTACACCTTTTGGATAACCAGTTTACAACTTGTGGATAATCAGTTTACACCTTGTGGATAACCAGTTTACACCTTTTGGATAACCAGTTTACAACTTGTGGATAATCAGTTTACACCTTCTGGATAACCAGTATAAAATAGGTGGATAACCAGCAATTATAGCATGGACAACCATCACATAATATTGTTGTTAATTAAAGAAGAAAACTGTGTGTGTGAGCTAAATTATCTAGCGGACTCACGCTATTCTAAGAGAGTAAAGTACACGCACAAGAGAGTACACAGTACCCCCAGGTGTACCAGATAATTTGCCCCCGTTTGGATTATTATTAATTAAAAAAATAATTTTGGACGCTATGTTTAATATTTAAAAAAAAAAACTACCACATCCATCTCCTCTCAACCATACAATACTGATATTTTGATAGGAATAGAAAGTTAATATTTTATTTCACATATAAGAAACTTTATTTATTTCCAAGGACTTTTTTTTAAAACAAAAAACACAACATGGTGTTCGTTCATGTTGTTTAGAGATGATTAAAATAGACCTGGATGTGAAAATAAGCTGCTAATCCTGAAGGTACCATCCCAATGAAAATACAAAGTGCAGCAAGATAGGCATTTCTCTTCCATCTCAAATAGGGTACCTACATTGGCGATGAAACAAAAAGTGGTTTACTCCTTCCCGTCCTTAATATACATAAGGCATTTGTTTTGTTTTAGGTTTCACCTAATATACATTTATAATTGATAAAAAAAACCTTAGAAATATTTTTTAACAATCAAGATAACACCAACGAATATGAAAATATATTTTAAAAGTTTTTTTAAAAAATTAAAAATGTGTATTAGGTGAAACTTAAGACAAATCGAAATGGTTTATATTAAGGAGGGAGTTTCTTTTTTCAATAAGAATTAATTAAGCATGCAACAGTACAACCAAATTTTAAGCATTTTCCACTTGATGCTTATTGACATGTTTTTAAAATTGTTTTTTCATATATGCTTCTTGACATTTTGAAATTCCAGTTCTAATCATGTTTTAAAACGGGAACAAAAAAATTAATTAACGACAACAAGAATACGATATAGCTAACTCATTAAAAAATAAAAATAAACTTATCAATATATATAATATATAATATATATATATATATACACACACACACATATAATTCATTAGATTTTCAGAAAACAAAATCCAAAGAATTAATTTAATGTTTGCAAATGAAGAACTCACGTTGAGCGAATACGCAGTCGAAGAAACGAAGAAAATGAGAATTAAGAAATTCAGGCATGGGGAAGCCACTATCCATCCAAATCCAAAAGCCTGCAAGGAGAAACGAAATTACGATGAATTACAAGAATCAAGATATAGCAGCAGCAGTACAAAGTTCATCTGATGATTGTATTGATGATTCTGTTAGTATACTAGATTCAGTGTCCGATGATATAGTGGATAGATTCCCATTATAGCCCTGATTGTATAGGAATATGAACATACTTAGATAGGCCCATACTTGTAAATATACTGTTTTAGTTAGTTTTAATTAGTTAGTTGAGTTGACAGTATAAATATTACTCACTCTGTCCCATAATTATTGTCCGGTTTGAAATTTCACTTTTAGTACATTTGAATTAGAAATGAAAACTCAAACTAGACAATAATTATGGGACGGAGGGAGTATATAGGAATCATTATATACTTGTAACTTCCATTATTATTACGTTCAATAAAAAAATCGAATATTTTTTTCCCCTTTCTTCGACTTGTTCTGAACCCTAGAATGGCTTCCACTCCATCTCTGATTATCATCTTCTAGAATAACCAGCCTAAAGCAACAGAAACTATAAAAAAAAATTCTTCTTTCGTTCGATAAAAATAATTTATTCAATATTTTTAGTATAATTTCTAAATTAAAATATAAACTATTTTCATGGACCAGAAAAGGTAGGGAAGAGATATTATTAACATATGTCTACCGACTATTAGGAAAAATTTAAGGAGAAGTATAAAAAGTTGTTTCATATCTTCAACTAACAAATATATATCTATACACACACACTACTTGGCCAATATTTTATCTGAAAATGAAACATATCAAAGAACTGACTTTTAATGCATACAACACCACCGGATGATTCATTAGAGTTATTAATTTGAGTTAAATAGGGAAATATTAAATGGACTCAAAGCTGTTCGGGTTTGGGAAAAGAAGATTGGAAAAGCATAGCGTTTCCTTTTATTCCATCCATGTTTTATTTACTAGAAAAGTTTGTCACTATTACTCAACATCAAATAGATATATAACTTCTGGGTCGAAAAAAAATAATTTAGCTAAGTAAATTATTTTTCTAGGAAGGAAGAGTATTTAATTAGTTCAGTTTTTCGAACTGTACTAATGGGATCCATCGCCCTGCCCCCCACAAAATGCCATTGTTTCCCCTCTTCTCTCTCGAAACAGCTTGTTTGGTCAAACCAACAATAAACAGTACCCAAAATTGAAAGGGGTTAGAATTAAAAAATAATTAAGAATACCATTAATGCCGAAGATAGAGTAAGTATTAAACCAGTCCTGATTGAATATTCCCCGGAGGCTAGTGGAAGGTAAGGCTTATTAACCTGAAAACAACAGCAGATAATATAAATGGAAGAAAAAAAATTTGACAAAAAGCAAGAGAAAAACGTCTTCCCGTTGATAAATACGACTCTTATTTTAAAATATAGAAAGTAATATAATAGAAGTTTTAATTTTACGAGTAACAATCATTAACTATTATGCTGCACTTTCAAATGATGACATGCTCTCAAAATCATATGATTTTAGTTTAATGAATTAATCATATTGGTAAATCACTCAGTGAATGTGTCACATAAGATAAGATGTAAATATGCCATGAATTAGATGTATATTATTGGTTCGATATAAAGGCAAAATGTAAATAAGAGTAAAATAATTCTGTCAAATACATATATGTGGACTGACCTTGTCAATTTCAATGTCTTCCAACTGATTTAGACCACTACTGTATGTGTGCGTGAAAAAAACAGCAGCAAGAACCTGAAGAAAAAATAAATCAGTTAATCAGCAAATCTCCAAACTCTTCGAAAAAAATATAGAAGTACGAAATCAAATTTCTTGTGCCATTCAAAAGCTTCACCTGAAAAAGACCAATAAAAAACGATGGAGAAAAATCTGAGAGCTTCTCCACTGCCAGAAGAGAAACTGCAATCAAGCTCCAAACCTGCTCAAATAAAATCGAAAAATTCAAAATTATTAACTATAGTCAAGATTACAGATAATGGACTGATTTTTTTTCTCTTTTTTTTTTTTGGTAGTGACACAAAAATTGTTGTAACAAGTAACAATTAATAGGACCGAAACCCGTTCAGTGAATAATATTATTATTTAAAAAAAAATCATGTAACTATTGTAATAGAATTGATAAATAAAAGTATTGACGGATGTACTTCATAATAGTGTATTAGTTTAATGTATCAGATTCAGTACTTCACTTTCTGAAGTTCAAATTTCAAAATTAGATTATCAAAAAATGTTACTCCCTCCGTTCCAAAATAAGTATTGTTTTAACAAAATAGAGAAATTTCAAAATAAGTGTCGTTCTTACATTTCAATGCACTTTTTGTCCAAAATTTCAAAATTACCCTCAAAAAAATTAATTCTATTGGTGGATTTTTTTTTAATGAGGTTGGTTGAGAATATTCAAGTAATTTTAATATCTTATTTAAGAGTTTCTTATGTGAAAAGTGTAAGATGACACTTATTTTAGAATGGAGGGAGTAAAACTTAGCGGTAAAGGTTTTGAAGAAATGCATAAAGTTTCGGAAAGTAAAGACAAAAAAAGTTATTCCTGAAAACCTACTATTCCGACGAATGCAAAGGGTCGTGAAAATCGATAGAAGGCATCAAATTGCCCTTGAAGTTTTTCTTTCAATGGGCTATCGTTCGAAGGTAGCATTTCGGATTCCAAAACCTCGTCATCGGAGGCCGCATTCACCAAATAGTTACCACTTTCTTTAGGAGAAAAAGCAGCTACAAGGAATCTTCCTTTTTTACTATTAGGATCGACATATTGGCTTGTCGGAATTCGCTTCCTTTGATAGATAATAGGCTTTGCTAGTTGTTTCTGAACCTTCTTCTTCCATGGGTTGCATTTTGAAACATCTAGTCCTATAATTGGACATTAAAAAAGAGCAACAAGAAAAAAAAAAGGGGAATATTCCATTAATTTCGTCTTATTTATACTGTAAATTTTTAGTTTAAAAAGTATACCTTATTGCTTAATAAACACGTAATACTTACCCGAATTAGGACAACAAAATCCAGCTGTTTCAGGAACTGAGAGTGTAAGAGTAGGCTTTATCGAGGAACCCAGAAACTTCATCGCTACTAATCTGTGATGTATCTTTTATCTTGAATCTAAAGAACTTATACATATGGAAGAAATGGCAAAAAGTCAAGTGGTATATAGGAGATTTTTAAAGTGCTCTACTGCCTATAAATAAGAAGCAACCTAGACCAATTCAACTTTGGGACTTGGTTTGGACTTTGAACCAACTTTTTCCAATGCAATTATTGAGTTCTTTATTGAAATCTCTATCTCCCAATTAAATTCATGACTTGGAGACATGCCAAAGATTCCGAAAATTACTATCATAATAATCTTATACTAGATGGTACCCGCACGATGTGCGGAATAGATAAATTATGTATAAAATCAAACATAATAAAAATCAAAGAAATATTTTATATTTTAGTAAATTGATATATAATATAAAAACACTAAGTTAAATAATTTTACATTAGAAGTAATTTTTATGCGCTAAGAAAATAAATAGATCCATATATTGATCTACGTATTAAATATATTTTATTTTCGTGAATCATCAACATATATTTCGCCATGTTGTCCCTAAGAAAACATCAAACATTGAAATCATTAATTAAGATTGGCAAAGAAACTCACCGTGATGTGCATTCGAAAATCCTTGCTACAGAAAATATTTGCCCATAATTTCTAAAAGTTAGAGGCAAAAAACTTTTGACACAAAAAAATAATGATTATTAAAAAAAAACATAAATCCTAAAAAAAAAAGAGAGAAGAAAAAAAAGAAAAGATTCCGGTATAAATTGGGATTGCAACCTAGTTGAGTTTTATAAGCACACTTTATATATACATAATAATTTTATTCACATGATTAATGCGATTGGAGTGATTATAGGCATATGTTTATATTTGATTTTTTTTAAAATAAAGTAAATGCATATTCGTGTATGCAATTATGACAGATGATATATCTCTAAAAAATATTATCTACAATTTTTTTAATTATTTCAAATTTCAAAATAATATTAATTTTGTTTAATGATCAACCAATATGTAATGGTATTATTCAATCCAGTGAGAAAATATTTTCAAATCAATCAGTTTTAATGTTGAATTAAAGAATCATTGATGATTTTGTATTTATTATTTTTGAATTTTAAAAAAACATTAATACTGTTTAATGATCAAACCAATATTAATGGCATTTTCAAGCCAATCAGAAAAATTTTTCAAATCAATTAGCTTTAATGTTGAATTAAAGAATCATTGATGATTTTGTATTTATTATTTTTAAATTTTAAATAATCATTAATATTGTTTAATGATTAAATCAAGACGTAATATTATTATTCAAGCCAATCGGGTAATCTTTTTCAAATCAATCTTATTTAATGTTGAGATGTTAAAAATTTTCCGTTTTTTTTTCATTTTAGGGAATGTAAAATAGAAAGTTTACACACAATTAATTGATATATTTTAATTAAGAATTGATAACAATTTATTAACTGAAAATTTAAAGGACTGTTAGTGTAATTATTGTAAATATTTTTTGTAACAACCTATAAGGAAATGACACATAGGATTTTGTCCTATGTGTCAACGGGGGGAGAAGTTTGATTTCCTCTCTCTGGTTTCTCTCTTAATATAATACTATAGATATCCCCATTTTGTTGCATGATGTTAATTAAGACGAGTTGTTACGTACTCCCTCCATTCCAAAATAAGTGTCGTTTTGACAAAATAGAGAAATTCCAAAATAAGTGTTGCTTTCAGATTCCAAAACTTTTTTTGCCAAAAATTTCCAAACATACGCTCAAAAGAAATAATATTATTGATGAGCATTTATTTTAATGAGATTGATTGAGGATATTCTAGTAATTTAGTTACCCTATTTAATGTTTTCTTAAACTGTATGCAAACTCTAGAATGACACTTATTTTGGAACGAAGGAAGTACCAAAATTGAAATTAAAATATTACTTTTTAACATACAAATGAAAAGCAAAATGAAAATACAAAATACAAAATTCCAACATAGTAGATCCTTGGGTAAGCTTGGGATAAATGATGTGACATTATATTCCATCAGTTCTCAAATGATTGTCCCGTTTGAATTTTCATTTTGAATACAAAGAAGTAACCATTAAATTGTTCGGATCTTGATATGTAAGAATTACATACTACCTCCGTTTTTTTATCTGTCATTTTAGGGTGAACCCAAAGTGTTTTTTTACCTGTCGCACATTATTTTCAATGTATCGTTAAATATAGTTTTTTCAATTTTACCTTTATCTCTCTCTACTTTTAATAACATATATTAATGACAGTTACCCACTATTTTACTTCAATTTCAAAATTTTTAGAGTTTCAATACTTTAATTAGGGACAAAAAAGAACCCTAAAGCGACAGATAAAAAACGGACTGGTAGTAACCAAGGTAATAACTGACTCACATATAACCTAATTTTATTATTTTCGAAGGGTTAGCACAAGGATGAGCACTTAAGACTTACGCTAAACACAGAAATGCTCGAATAAATGTTACTTTTTAATATTTTTCGTTATCAAGTGAAAGAGCGCATTAATAGTTAGAGCACACCATGGTGGTAAATAGAAAATAATACTCACCTCATTATATTATTTATCATTTGTAACAAGGGTATCTAAGGCTGGACTATTATTTATCATTTGTAGACTATTATAATCTGTACCAGTATAAAAATTCTTACAATGTATAATATATTGTTTTGGGGTCATCATATAATTAATGTAGTTTCATGACGATTCATTACATGATAAACTATATCTGCTATGTTCTAATTTAGCACTAAATTAGCACTTATTCAGACTGATCGATTTCTTCTCGGAAGCTAGTATCGGTAAGATCTCTCAACATTATTTTCTCAATTCACAACAATCGAAATATCGAATTGTCCCCTCATGCTCAACAAATTATTCGTTACCTAATTAGCTAATGAATCATCCTTTTGATATACAAATTGTCGTTCATTAATAATTTTTGGGGGTATCTTTTTTGGGATTTACTTTTTTAGAAATTTTATAATTGTATATAAAAATATGCGGGATGAATAATTTTGTTTCTTTTTTTTCTTTTTTTTTTTAAAAAAATTGCAATAATAATTAATGCCCACCCCAGCTCGGCCATGAACCCTTTTTCCCGTCAAAGGTTATGAGTTTAGCGACTTGTGGGATATTTTATGGATAGATTTTTGTCCTATGCGCCGGTTTACGTTGTTTTCTGATATTACCAGTTTACGGTAAAATAATTTGAAGAAAATATCTACTTAATTTGTTTATTTTGAAGTTGAAGGAGACAGTTACTTTCACTAATCCTAGAAGATAGATTTAAACTGCGCAATCAAAAGTTAAGTAGGTCACGTTATTAGTTACTTAGCACCGAAATTCAAAGTGACGGAAATTGAAAGTTTCCTTTTACTTGCAACCATAAGCAAAATGGCGGCTGGAAACAGTAAAAATCCCTAAACTCCATGAATTATTTTTTTGTGATAGGAATAACATTTTTTTTTCTGGGAACTAGTATAAATAGATAAAAATCTCACCATTGAATTATTTTTCATTCACAAAGATCTTGTTAAGAACTTTTTTAAATATTTTTTAAAGAAGAGATCAATAATTTATTTTCCATTTACTCCCGACTTGACTCGAATCAGAACATCTCTTCTCGAAAATAAATACAGGTGATTCGGAACTTTGGTAAGAGAAATCAACATATCAAACTCCTTGTAGTGGTCAACAAGATTTGGTTACTTAAGAGTAGCTGATTAATACTTTTACAGTTGAACGAGACAGTAAAGACAGGGCAGCAAAGAACGTCATTGACTGATTTTACAGCTGAGAGTCAAAAGTTAAGTCGGTCACGTTAATTAATTTGATTAGCAGCGTGGGGCCACATGCATGTGTTTAAATTATTAATTTTTTTTGGAAAATTTTAAAATACGTAATTAATAAGGAATAGCGTTCCATTACTTTTTCAACAAGCAAACTGGCGGATAGAATCATGGAACATTTGGTTTGACCATTAGAGGGGGAGAAAATCATAGTAATCATTAAGAGTTCCTCAACGTTATGGTGGGCGATGTGTTGACTCGTTTAACCCTTTGTAAATCTAGTGCAGAGTAATTAAATGAACTTTCAATAGTCTGAGGCAGTAACCGGATTTAATTTTATCTTTTTACTGCTTTACTACATTGACTCAAACCATGTGGATTATCTCCTGTATTCATAATTGTCAATATTTCGACAACTGAAATCTCCTCGACCTTAGAAGTATGAATGTACGTTCTCGATGTTCAGTATTTTTACCATTTGTCGAAAATACTCAACACTAAAAGGTGCGAGAAATGATTTAATGATTTAATCTTGATAACTAGCTTGCCCATACTCTTTTAGGTTTGGTCCATCTCTTTAAGGCTTATTCAATTAACTTTCTCTTAAAAAAGATTTTGGTTGTTACAATTGTGCATTTGTTATGAAATATTTGATTTGATTTGATTGAATATTCATAATTAACATGTATTATTCTATTCAAAATTAAGGAGATATGATTCTGTAATATTTAGCATTAATGATAGAGTTATTTAGTCCACATAGTTTGGTCCCCAACCTCTTGTATAAATAGGGAGCTCATTCATACTTCAGGAACACATCTGAATACAAGTCTCTTATCTCTCTCTACTCTTTTTTCTCTCCTCTTTGTTCTTATGCTTAGTTTCATATTAGTAGTCTAGCATTAAATTTATAACACGTTATCAGCACGAGACTCTAGTCAAAGAGCTTCTACCATCGCCTGAAGTTAGTGTTTATTGATTCTGAAGGCCTGAAGCCTCAATAAATATTTTAATTCTACCACCGCCTAAAGTTGATGGGTATTAATTCTGAAAGTTTGAAGCCTCAATGAATATTTTAAAAGGTTTTCGGGATATAAAGTGATGTGACCTCAAAAACTTTCAAGTGCACAAGTCTCTAGCCACACTGAGACAGTTCATCATGAAGTTCAATTTAATGACTCAAAATGATGATGATGGGAGAAAAAGGTAAATCATAAATCACACATATTTGGGATGCATATGAAGAAAACATATTTCTTTTTATAAATTCTATTTACTCATATTATACAATCACGATGCAACTCTTAAGCTATGTATATGATTGTTGATCATGTGAATGTATAAAATTTATATAAGTTGTATGTAATTGCGATAGTATCCATGTGTGCAAAGAAAAAAAAAATTTTCTTTAAAGAATTAATTTTTTTGATATTTAGATTGCAAGGAAAACACTTTGTTTTATTATCATACGTTTATTAATAGAAAGAAATCTCCTTCTCATATTTTACTTTGTACTTTTATATTTTACTTTACTCATAGTATTACTGATATTTACTAATGCAAGTAAAATATATTGCCAGTAGCAATATGAAAATGCATCAAAGTTGCTCCTGAAGTAGCAATGTTGCGATAGCATATTTACCATATTAAATTGCTCCAGTAGTAGCATTATCGCAAAATATTTGATGAAATCAATTAAAAGCTCCAGTAGTGCATATGCCATTGAATTATTCAGCAAAGATAGATGAAAACTTCCATAGAGTATAATTACTTCGAAGATTGAAAACAAATAAATGCTCCTGATGAGCAAATATAATGAATTCATCATTGCCTCTTGAAGAATAATAGTAAACAAACTTTGCTCCTAAAAGAGCAAGAAAATATTAGAAGGAAAAAGTGCATTGAGATGTATTATATTCTCTAAGGTATCAAATAAGGATATAAATTTCTCTACCAACACAATTATTTTGGATTTGAAAATTCATTGTTGTCTCCAGTAGAGTAATGATACAATTTGTTTTTAAAAGAGCAAGAATACTTTGGTAGAATGAAATGAAAACAACTAAATAACAAATACTCTTGTAGAGTAAAGAAGCTCAGTCAAAGTAAATGCTCATGTGCAGTGAAATTGATCTGGTATAGTTGAATAAGTAATTCGTTGTTTTCTCCAGAAGAGAAAATCTAAAATTTGGCATACCTACTATTATCATTCTTGTCTCAAGATGAAACAAGCAAGTTTATGTATATTAAATTTGGAGAACCAAGAGTTTCTTCCAACAAATTAGAATATCAATCGATATGTCGATGAGATAGCCACATGTATGATTCTCGTTAATTTGCACCTGAAGTTTGTAGAAATTTTATTATGGAGTTAAATTGGTAACTTGCAAATTTTCATGTTCTGCTCTTACGAGAATTTTGATTTGACAATTGTGGTGACTGTATGACTCAATACCAGACTGATAGAAGTTAAATATTAAGTGCCTATAAGAGCAATAATGAAGTGGTTTAGTAGAATCATTTATTGCATGAGTGCAATTAAAGTAATTACCTCATGTATAGTTGAGGAAGTATTGAAACACAAAAGCCACCAATTATATGCATAAGACCAAACATGTCATTGCAGATATTCTCCCCAACATTAGTTTTTGGTCAGAAACCATACATATCCATCTTCGAATATTATATGTGCATATTATATTATAATTACTCCACCACAATGCACAACAAAGATGGAGCCTCCATGAGAGGTTAGAAATATATGTTGAATATTGAATATCTAGTTTTTGAAATATTGGTGTTGGATTAACTACTCGATAAACTGATCGTATTAGTTTGACGAGTTAGTTACTCTCAAAAGGGAGATTATTAACTACTCGATTGGTTAATCGTCATTTTAGCGAGTTAATTATCCTAACATAAGGGGGAGAAGTTGAAATAACCTTTTTATAAAATCAGATGGACCATGCAATTATCTCATTATGATCCTCGATGACACTACAACAAAAATGGGTTATTAATACCTTTATAGGGGGACACTTTTTCTAAAATGTATCTCATTATATGTGTATTAGGATATTTGCTAAAAAGTGTCTTATTAAAAATAAAAAAGTGTATGCATATTATGAAATACTATCATAAGTGTACTATGTGGGGTTGCTTGTGAACTGTTACCCTACTTAATGGGTCACTTTAAAGTGTCTTAATAAGTGACAATCTAATAATACACTTTCAAATATTTTATGGGTCACTATTTAGTAGTGTCGCACGCAATGTGAATCACATGTGTCCTATTACACCTGAGACACAAAAAAGTGTCTAAACTACTCATTTTTGTTGTAGTGTGATATGAACCTGAAGTTCAAGAGGTAATGTTTAAGACCAGATGTTTACCTGACCGTATGTATAAATATATTTGTATAAAAAGGCTGTTAAAACTTAGAATTTGATAATGTGTTCCTGAAAGACTACCTACCACTATTTGTTAGTTGAATGTCCTTTTTATGAGTGGTAGAACCATCGATTCCAAATGATAAAAATTCTCGTAAATGACAAGGTTTATATCTATAGAGATGGAAAATACGAGCGATTATAATTCATAAGAATTTTGAACTGGAATAGTTTCCCATTACGGTGAATTAACTTCCAGAAGAAGTATATGAATACTTGGAAAACTTAATGATCGTGAGATCTCATTACCAAAGAACATGGAATCGGTCAGCAATAAAATGTCGACATGAAAATTGCTTATGCTGCACCAGTAAAATAAATGAAATGAGGATTATGAAATGAAAGTCTGTTGTAAATGCAGACATTAAACTTATTGGCCACAACAAATGAAAAGACGCAATATACACTTGACGATGTGTACTTAAAATTGAAATTGCTTGCGAACTAGAAGTTTGGCAAGTGATATACGGGCTAGATTTTGGCCGGTGATTGTGCAAAAGATTATCAAGCAACCTCTTTGTTGCACAAGATTTTCTCAAAGTCCGGTTTATCTCTTGGTGGATGAAAAAGAAAATCTTCTATTATTTGCTAATCTGGTAGCAAATGAAGATAAGAAATGCGTCTCTTGATTATAGTGATCACTTAATACGTGATACTTAATAATGACGTCTACATAAAATCCCCGAAGGATTAAAAATAAAGGGACATGATCCCAATTCTCGAGAAATTAATTCAAAGGACTTGCGCAAGTTATAATGTCTTCATGTGTCTAGATATTTAGGTTCATATTTTTGAATATAATACATATGCTATGTTTGTTTTTATCTGGATATGTTATGTTTGTTTGTAACATGATTTTCTATATATTTTTATGATCATATTTGAATGATAGGATAATAACTAATACTAGAGTGAGTATTCATAAGTCATATGTGAATTATAATTTTGTTAGCACCGAACTCTTATAGAGTTTCAAAAGGCTGAATATTATCGAAACTTATTACGAAGTTCGAATAGCCTGGATATAAGTAAAACTCCTGAAGAGTTACACCAGAGTTTTGAACACTTTTAAGGAAGTTCAAAAGGTTGCTATTTGCTGAAGCAAGGATAATGAAAAATCTTGAGTAGAATCTCGGTCTAAATAGTTTGACCTTTGTATATTCAACACATGCTGAGCGCACTTGATTAAAATCTTGATATGCATATAGATCATTCTTCTTGACTTTCTATTAATGATGTAGACCGATTTGGTCCTGAAGTACCATGTAAAGTTTCAGTTTCTCTAATTAATTAGTCAAGACTTGGATGGTGTATATTGATACATTCAAGGTTTGATGGTCATGCATCTCCATTATTATAAAACACTCAATATTATACAGGTATATGAAGACAACTATCTACATAAGAAGTTGAAGTAATCTGTCTATTACTGACTTAAACAATTATGAAACTGGTCAATAGTTTGGCATGCAACGAGAAGATTACAAGCGTACTTAATAGGGGGAGTAACCCACGCTGTACTCCTTTTCCCTTGATCGAGGTTTTGTCCTAATGGATTTTCCTGACAAAGTTTTTAACGAGACAGTGTCACATTCGGAAGTGTACTCTTTTTCCTTCACTAAGGTCTTATCTCAAAGGGTTTTTCCTATTAAAGTTTTAACGATGCATTATTCCACAAAGATGGACATTCAAAGGGGGAGTGTTATGAAATATTTGATTTGATTTGATTGAATGTCCATAATTAACATGTATTATTCTATTCACAATCAATAAGATATGATTCTGTAATATTTAGCATTAATGATAGAGTTATTTGGTTCACATAGTTTGTTCCCCAACATTTTGTATAAATAGGGATAGGGAGCTCATTCATGCTTCAGAAACACATCTGAATACAAATCTCTTATCTCTCTCTACTCTCTTGTCTCTCCTTTTTGTTCTTATGTTTAGTTTCATATTAATAATCTAACATTAATTTTATAACAGCATTAACCATATCGATCGATCTGACATAATCTTCTTTATAATAATGCATGCAGCTCTCTTCAGTGTTGAGGACTTTCTCGTACCTTTTATATGGTAAGCATAAGAAAAGGCAAAGAATCAAATACTAGTGGTAGGGCGACTTTAGTTGTGTATAATTATGAATATGCGATCAAGAAGAATAGAGTCATTAAAACTGAATTGCACCTTCCAATGCCAATAATTAAGATCTACACTGAAGTTGCCCTTTCCAAAAATTACATTTATGTCGTTCGACATGCCGTTCTCTGACCCCGGACCAAATTCCATCATCATAACACTTCCAGATCCTACAAACAATGTCCCTTTCCATGCAGCAAGACTTTGTTGAGGTATTCTCCAAGAGCCCATATTGGAAAAATGTTTCTATAGTTTGAGTAGCTTATCATGCAGTTTCTATTAAAAACTCCAATGATTTCCTGTACCAAAAAGATAAAAGATGAAATAAAGTTTTTACGAATTAGTTTTTTTTTGGGTTCAATTTGTGGCTTTCAATGCATAAAGTTTAGTGAAAAATACCTGTTGTGGGAAGTCACCATTTTCCATTTGTGACTTGATTAGAACTTTTGCAGCACGATGCAGGGGAATGGGATCTCTCTTGGCCTGATTACAATCATCCATATTTTGCAAAGTATTAACTTTCATAAGTACTAAACGTTAATCATGAACAGTTCTTTCGAAATCGCTATAGTACCTGGTCAGCTTTGATGAGACCTAACAGAGCCCATGCAGTGTTTACATTGTGAGTTTTGTTCCCCTCAAGGCTTGTGTACACCTGAAATCCAAAAAATGTGACACAACTCAAGACTTACTCTTTGGATTGGTTATTGGTTAATTACAACTTAATAGGATTCTCGCACTTATTGTGTATCAACAATGTCTTATTAATAAACTAGATTAAGAACATAATTGATAGTACATTTTAGGTTATGAATGTACAAACAAATGAGACAGAGGGTCTTATCTCATTTTTATGCTGCGATTTTTTGTTACCTTATTTTGAGAAGAAATGTAGCTCTCTCCCCATCCTCCAGATGCGAGCTGCTTGGACAGTAAAAATTCACAAGCTTTTCTAACGCTTTTGTTTTTTTCATAAGTCCTTCCTCCTTCCACCAAACCTGTGATACCGAACCATGTTCCATAGGTGTAGCAGACTCCCCAAGATCCATACCTGAGTTGATAAAAAGTTAGCGTTGACTTAGTTTCAAATTTGGGGATATAGCTTTTGGCCTAAAAACATTTAAGAAGTAAATTAATTTTCACTGTTGAGAATTATTACCATGAACCATCATGGAGTTGAATGCTTTCAATGAAGTCTAGGCCTTTCTCAATGCAGGATTCGATCTCTTTTCTCCGATGATCTGGGTACAATTTGCTGAATAATCGGAGAGCCTGAACTGCTGCTGAAGTGCATTCTACATACCTATATACGTTTACAAACCATGTTTGTTTTAGTACAACAAGAAATCAGATATGGTAGACAGACCAAATTCAGAAAAAACATAAAAAGTTAGGCTAAGTCTCACTAACTTACTGGTAGTCAATCATAATATCTCCAAATGTTTCTGAAGGATTAATTTTCTGTAACAAACAAAAAGATGATGATAACTTGAATCTTCAAAAGGCCACAGTAAAACGAATAAGCATCTTCTTTACCTCCACCCAATCAAAAGATCTAGTGCGCTCATAAGATGCAAAACCTCCGTTGTTGTTCTGCCATGTCAAAACATATGACTTGAATGATCTCTCTCAGAAAAAAATGCTGGGAAGAACTTTTAGACAAGGTGTTAAAAGTAGTGTCTCGGAAAAATGGATGCCTTTAGGATCATAAAAAAAGATGCAATGAGCACATTTCAGTCTTATGGCTCGCGCTTAAACTTCAATAAATAATCAGTATTGTGTCATTGAGTAAGGGGTGTCTGAGGTTTCAATGCATTCTAAGGAATCACATTGAATATAGCTAACAGGACATTAGTTTTCTGGTACTCCCTCCATTTTGAAATATATGTCGTTTTAGGGTTTGGTGAATTTTTTTAAATAGATGTCGTTTTCACAAATCGATGCACATTTGACCACTTTTTATCAATATTAACCCAGCATTGGGAATGAAACAATATTTATAATGAATTTCTATTGGTTTGTGATGAATGGTATAGAAAATAAATAAAGGTATTTTTATATTTTAATTACATTATTTAATATTTTTTTGGTTTTGATGAATTCTTTAGAAAAACATATAAAAAAAATGGAGGGAGTAATAAAATTGACTCATATAACCATTAAGGTACCTGATAGGATAGTATCACATTAACAGCATCATAGAGCTTTTCCTTTTCTACCGCCTGACCAGAAATATAAGATGGCATTCTCGATAGCAAGAGAGCTGCCTAAAAACACAAGAGTTTTGCAGGTTAACAACAATCTCACATTTCCAAGTTCTTTTTGCTAAAGCTATAGATATCTTAAGAACATAAGTTGTTCTTGCATAAAACCGAGTAAGTGACAAATATGTTTGCAGTGAGATAAACCTTTAGGCCTTCTGAGGTAGTATCTGAGACTGGCCAGCCATTGTCTGCGGTAGAGAAAGGCCATGCACCTTTTGAAATGTGACGGTACCAGGACTTGAGATCTCCAGGATTGTCTTTATCAATCTTTAACAAGAGTTGTACTAAATTAGAGAGAAAATTTTTACAATGCAAGAAAATCAAAGTCATGTATGTTCTTGAGTGGATTACCTGAGAAAGTTTAACAAACCTGTGCACTTTCTGAAGCATCAAACCGTAATCATCAGGGAGGTTTGTTGCTAGTATTGCTTGAACCGCTAAAGCAGCATCCCACAGCTGAGATCCATTATATCCCTGCAAATTGTAAATTCCCTACACAACATGAAAACAACATACTACATTCTTCGAAAAGTTGATTCATAGTCATAATTTGCATCAGACACACAATATTGAACACCTTCATTTTCATGCCATCTTCTGCCAGCCACAGGTAATCTTTTATTCTTGCAAGATGCTTCTTTATTGCTGAAGAATTCGGATTCTCTACCCAACGACATAACATGTTCAGCACCTACAGAAAAATCAACATAAATATTGGTATTTGCATGCTGACATAGTAAATGTTTTTTAGGTTATGATCAGCCTCCTTAAGGAGCAGCAATAAGCACCTTATTAACAGGTGCTATACAAAGATAATGAGTGTTTTCATCCTCATAATGAATGTGCTCCATCACAGTTGTCAGAGCTTTCTGCCTCAGCTTAGAGAAAGGCCACTTTTTGAGTAGGGGCTCGGCGAACTTGTGCAGACCATCCCAGAGGAGATCTTGTACTAATGGATGTGGGTAGTATAAATCTTCCTGCATTTCCTCAGTAATTATGAATTAAGATGGTTAGAGTTCACACAAAATTAGAGGATGATCTCCCAGACAGGAAAGAAAGGGCCAGGGAAAAAAAAAAAAAAATCCGAAAACAACTGATAGTTAGTTAGCACCTCTGCCTCATAGACACATTCTGAGGATCAACTGATCCACATTCACAACAAAGTTTTCCACTTTCCTAAAAGAATGTTGGAAGTAGTAGCTAGCAGCATACTTCAAATAGTTGTCAGAACCTCGACACAAACAGAACTAGGTTTTATTGTCTCATGGCACATAAACATTTGTACACTTGAGAGCCATTGAAAATGTAACATGATAGGGGAGATCATAGGGTGAAATCAACCTTTGCGCATTGATTTCTGGCTAAGTTCCAATCAATCAGGTTGTAAGGTAGTGAGTAGAGCTCTTTTCGCAACGAGATAATTGTGCCATTAACTGGCACAACGTATCTCTTTCCGTACAGGTATGACATTGGCAAGTACACCATCCTAGTGTGGCACCACAGACGACCTGCAATCAAACTTTTGGATCATTTACCATTTGATTAGTAATCTTGTTAGTACCAACTTCCAACCATCTATGGTTACATCTTAATTGCTCAAATACCACATTAATACAGATCTCCCTCGAAAATGTCTGCAGTGAAATGATACAAGAAATAGTATACCACAGATGAAAAATTAAAAAAAATCCGTCTCTAAATTTGAACATTCATGACTTCAGACACTCTATTTCCTTAAGCACTCCACCAACTGTTCATACGTACATTTACATTAAAATGCTCTTATCCAGTTAATATATTTGCACTTTTTGTTTGATTCATATTTATATGAAGAAATTTGTGAAGCTCAGAATATGTGGAAATTTGTCAAACACATTAATAGTCGAATTAATTTATGTATCAAATATTTAACAATAAATTTTGATTTGCTTGATTGTACATATAAGATTAGGGTGAATTAATTTGATGATTATAATTTAAACCTGGATGTATAGGAAGAAAGTAAGGGAGAAGCCACAGTTCAGGAGGCAGAGGGTTATTGCCACTCCAGTCATAAACTCCAAGTACCTAATTAAGAAAAGGTAATTGATTATTACAAGAACGAACAATATACGGAGTAATAATCATCGATGTAATACACTTAATATATGATATCATTTAGAAAAATCGACAATAATCCTTTCCGACTAGTAAAAACATTTTTTTGTTCAATAAAAAATTGAACTAAATCTCTGATGATGAAAGCCATCTTTCCTAATACTGAATCATAAAAAAAAAAAAAAAAACTGATTTTAAGGCCAAATAAAATAGTTAATTACATTTAAGCAAAATTAAGACAAAAAAATATCTTAATAGAAAAGAAACTGTAGTAAGAAAGATATTGTCTTATTCAACGATGAATTTTTTTTTTTTTAATTTTATTTTTTGCAAAGTTATGGCATTAGTGTTAACAAATTTATTTATTTATTTTGTCTTACAGAAAGCCAGAGCTTCCCCCATGATGGGATGAAAGTGCATCCACCATGATCAAGTATCCAATTTCGAGCTTTCTCCATTGTTCCATTCCGGCCGCCGTCGGCCGGCTCGCCAAGAAGACGAAGAGACACATAAATGAGGGCAGTACAAAACATGGTGCTCCGGTCTTCTATATGCAAACCCCATCCACCATCTGCATTCTATATTTATGGAAATTAATTACTGATAAAATTCAATTTTTGAACCAAATATTAGTCCAATAATGTTAAAGCAAATATTGCGATCGTGTCTTTGTAAATCTTCCGAGTGGAGGCTAGCTCTTGATGTGGTTTGGTTTCATAATTTAAGTTAGTATACGTTCGAAGAAAAGGTCTACACATATTCATGCGAACAAAAAAAAAAATACTCCTTCCGTCCCATAGTTATTGTCTAGTTTGAGTTTTCATTTATAGTTCAAATTGTACTGAAAGTGAAATCTCAAAGTGGATAATAATTTTAGAACAGAGGAGGTAAAAGATTCTTGGATAGCGGGTTCCATATCTCATTAAAACCGAATTAAGTTGTTTGAATATTATTTTTGGGAAAAAAAATCACCTGGTTCATAAATGCTCGGGAAGCAGAAATTCCTATACACTAGTTCCGATCCAGTCGTCGTTTTATTTCGTTTCTTTTCTTTTTCTTTTGTTTTTTGCATCTTTATAATAATGATAAAATTCACAATGGGACGGTAATTTTTGGAATTATTAGTGACGTTGGAAATTAATTAAATTGAACCAAAAGATGCTAGTATGTGGAAATGCGACGGACCGAAAAGCAAAAAGAAAGTAGTGATATATTGTAAGTTGTGTTTGACTGTTTCTTTGTATCAATCAATCGCAGCTGGATGATTTCCAGTAAATGAATAAAAGTATTATTTTATTTCAAAAAAAAAATTAATATATTGATTAAACTATAAAAATGGTTTTCATATATGCCGTGTGGCTGTGTACTAACTCAACTTACTTGATGATTATAGAGATACCGGCGAATTTCTTTTTGATGCTCACTTGATAGTGCTGTTTCCATTGCTCCCATCACATGTAACCCAATAATCTGTAGAAACAATAAAATAAAATAAATTTTTTTTTTATTGGAATGAATTCACTGCTCAAGATCTTTCCAGTAATTCACAAATTTGGCAACCAAAATAATGAAGAAAAAAAAATAAAAGAAAAGAAAATGTCATTACGTACTAATCCTGGTAAGAGAAACAACGGACCGCCATAATCACTAGGCCAGTGCCCATCTTCTGCTTGAAGTGTTGAATAAAATCTTAAAGCCCTTCTCAAAGTTGTGATCACTGCTTCCTCTTTGATTCTTTCTTCGTCATCATCCCTTCCTACTACTTTCACTCCTTGTAAATTCGCTTCACATGGATTCTCCTTTGCAAACTACAAAATTTAAGGCAATTAAATGGATACCAAATCACACCTTAACAGGTACTTAATTTGGTCTCATCACGATTTTTTCATTACTTCAGTTCTAAACTTTAATATTGCCCCAAAACTTTTAAAGAAAAAAAGAAGAAGAAGAAAGCAAAAAAAAGAAAAAGAGGCGTTACAGATGTCGTAATTTGACTCTATTGCATAAATAGTTGAAGTATGATGAACTCAATATACTAATACTCCCGCTGTCTCCAAAAAAAAGTACACATTGAGTTTTGAAATTGGTACGGATTACTTTTCTGGGACAGTAGAGTCAATACAATATGATCCAGGTAATTCATTCAGTAAAACAAGATGTGATCATGCAATATGTAGGTGGTGTATGATTTTCTTGTTTAAGTTTTTCAATTACCTGGAATCGCATGATGAGATCCGAACTATGTTTGATCTCAAAGCGATTCAAAGTAAACTCCTCTCGGACCTTTTCAACAAGAACCCTTTCTTCAATGCTTCCAAGGTTCGGATCGAACTCCCAAAACTCTCTTCCGATATGATTGTTTGAACTTGTGACCCATTCTCCATCATCATCTCCATTTTCCGATAGTTTTAGCTTCCACATCCTCCCCGTTTCTTGTATAACTTACTTGTTTTGCTTCTGTATATAAACGTACTCATTGACCAATGTCCATTGTTTCCAAGTCTTTTTCTTATAAAGTTTATATAAACGTTGAAGAAGACATTTACGTCATTGTTTACAATGACAGATAACAATTGAAAGGTTTTGACATATACATACGGCTAACGCATCTTCATGAGATGCTCCCATAGATTAAAACTGAATAATTAAGGCAAACTAAAAGTGAGAAAAAAAAAAGTACAAAGAATCTTTTCACGGATATAAAATGGAATTTGGTTAACATCATAGTTTGCAAACTCTCGATCCTGGATCGTAGGATCGGACGATTCTACGATCCCAGGTACCTACATCGATTCTGATCGATCAAACTCGAATTTCACAGTGGGATTGAAGTAGGATCGGTCAGGATCGGTTAGAATCGTACAGGATCGGTCAGAATCGTAGGATCAGTTCCAGTTTACTATTCATCAATTACAAAAAATTAATTGAGCTTATTGAGATTTTTCTTTTCTCTTACTTCTTTTGGTTCATATTAAATTGAGGCAAATCTTTGAGAAAACTTTTATTGCTAAGAAAAATATATTTTAGAAAGTTATTCTAATAAAATGAAAGGAAGAACTATAAGAGAAGAGTTTTTCTTAAAAAGTTATGAAAAAATTCATAGAAGAAAATTGAATTTACACAATTCTTTTTGTTTAGCTGTTAAATACTTTATATAAAAATAATTAAAACCTAATTATCAAAGAAATTAATTATATAACATGTATAATTAATTTTACGATCTTACTATTCCAATCTTACCGATCCTGTTTACGATCCGATCTTATGACCCAATTTCGATCCTACGTAGGATCACGATCCTGCAAATATTGGTTAACATTGTAGTCTTCAAACGTAGGAACAAAAGTTACAAAACGATATTTTGTCAGATTGCCAAATGATAAAATTGTTTCGCTGTTCACATTATTTGAAGGCTAATAGTTTTTAATTGTTGATGTCGCTATTCACGTTATTGCGTATGATATTTTGTCATTCGATAAAATAAGGATGGGTTGAAAATAAGGAAAAGTTCTCGATTACATAGAAGATAGAAAATTGGGTGGTCACAATTTTATTTGTTCTATATTTGCCTACTTTTATGATTGAGCTTCTTTAGAACTAAAATAATTGCAACTTGGCCATAATAATTGAACTGCACCCTGCTGCCTACTAAGATCATCCGCAATGATTTATACTATTATGAATATAATGTCATAAATTTTTAATATTATACTTTTATTTCACTTTTCATTATATTGGTTAATTTACACTGTAAAAGTATAATAAAATAAAATAGTTTTTGTATCATCCACATTAATTATATTCTACCACTAAAAAGTGTATTATACAATGTAAGAATTCTTACACTGTTTAATATTATCACACTCAACACAATAATAAATAGTATAATAAAATAATTATTTACTTGGAACTTACCACCATTGGATGCTCTAAGTTAAGTATTAATAATACTGTCTGGCGTTATTCACTCCATGAAAATATCTAACAACAATGTCTATTTAAATTTAACTGTCGTGAAATTATGTAACAAAACTTTCTCATACTACGAGATCGATATTTCTTACAGGGTGTGCCTTTTTTCTTTTGATAATCTACAGGTGTGCCTACTAAGTAAGTAGTTCCTTGCTGCTGATGATTCTCCCGTAGAGCTATAAAGCTTCCTCTCGGACCTCTTTTAGTCTCCCTAACTATTAATCCCTTAATTTGATGGGAAATTTTAACAAGTATTTAGAAATGTTACTCTTTGAGTATGGCACCATTTTACAAGTACCAGAATTTGGGCATCCAACTAATTATAATCGATATTAATAACTTGATATTTGGTTGCTTTACTTTGTGATGTGGAACACAATACATCAAATAAGAACAGTTTTTTAACAGACAGGGGGAGACCCTTAAGGTGAGAGGGGTTTAGGCAATTTCCCCCCACATTTGCATGCATTTAATTACTTGTTTTCATTGATTTATATATACACTCCCTTTATCTCAGAAAAAATATTTCACATTGAATTTTCAAATGCTTTTTTTGGGGAGGGGGATAGAGGAGGTATATTTTATTCTTATAAAGACATCAGGAGTCCCTTTTAATTAATCGCAATGTGGTCCTCATTACAGATTTTCAGCAACATCCAAAAAAAAAAAAAGATTTTCAGCTGAAACAAAAAGAACAAAAACTAAAACAACTTATTGTAAATAAGTTATAACTGTTTGCCTTAATTTCTTGTGTATGTCATGACGAAATCGAACAAAATAGATTTGTATTTAATTGATGATGTCGCTAATCAAGAAACTGACCCAGAAGATTAATTAAGTTCGGCCAAAACAGAACACAATCAAAAAATTAATTTTAGGAATGCGACGACAAACAAACACGGGGGCCAAGTGAAGTTGATGACACTGATGTTTATTATATTGTCACCGAATCGAGTTGTATTTTGATCGTTTGTGTTTTGATCCTCATTCTGATATCGAAACTTCGATTCTTATCTTTACGCAAGACGCTAGTAACGCATCAAGTTAGTAGCTAACGTGTAAAGCCTGAATAATAGACAAATGGCAGTAAACCGTTGTCAATTTAGGTATTATTAAAACCATCAATATGTACCATCAAAAATTTTTGCTACCATTCAAATTAGGTTATGGACCCGTGCATTTGCACAGGTATATAATAAATTAATGTCAGTTATTTCTATCTGAATAATTTTATAAAGAGCATGCAAAAGTGTAGCAAGCCCATTATATATTATGTTTAGTTAACAGACAATTGGAATATTGGAAAAAAATTGATTTTAAATCAAACTTATGTTGTTATTTTGTCCTAATAATAACATAAACTGGTGTTATTAAGTGATAATCATAAAACCAACTTAGGAGCAAAGAAACATAATTAGCAATAAGCCCTCCAAAATTGTGAAGAAAAAGAAAATCATAACTGGATTAAAAGGCAAGAAAGCCTTGTAAAAGGGTTTCTTGCTAGATGGATCCACGCCACGATCATCGCCACTTTACACAATGCTTCCTATGTCCGAAAATGATCATCGGCGCTAATTATTCGTGAGTATCAAAATGAAAGAATCCACATAACTAAATTGACTTTTCTATTCAAATGAGATACTTCACTGTTATCATTCGTTACATATGGGAAATCACATTTTTCCTTTAACAATTAGCTAACAATTGAAATTTTGACTTGGAGTATACCTTGATATCTTGTTGGTTCAAAATTTAATCACCTCCCTCGGTTCTCTCTAAAATTGGAGCAAGAGTATCCCTCCAATTGCAATATTTGGGTAAAGATTTGTTGCAGAAACTATTCGCATAATATTCTTCATGGAAAACCTAACAAAAGATTCAAGCATGATCAATTATCTAATACTTCACATTGTAAAATAAAAATTATATTATTTTAAGTACAATTTATAGTTTACATTCTTGGTTTTCCTCGGCAGAGGGAGTGTTAAAAAATAAGAGCACATCAATAAAAAATGCAAAATTTTAATCTCAAATACAAACAGTGAAAATCAAAACTCACTTGAAATAATATGATTTGGTGGTGTTAACTGAAAGATAACTTTGCATCCCTAATCTACTTCACTAAAACAACAAAAAATTCAACGTGGAATCATGGACCAAGAAATGAAATTTCTTTCACAATCCCGATCAATATCATTATAGAAAATTCAATCCAAACTGGATGCAATCTCATAACATAATTAATGACTCATCATATTTAACTGGAATTGATATACATACTTTTAATATGTATCACTTACACCAACCGCAAGACTAATGAGAGGATCGATTATACAGGGGATTTGACAATATACCTTACTAGATTAAGGAAATTTGACATAATACACATTACGTGTCAAATAATCCTTTCTTTCTGGAGTTGGCATTTACTGCAGTTTGTTGATATGGTTGTTCGTTCATCATTTGCGTCGGTGTTCTTCTTAGTCGCCATATTTTTTTGCTTCTGGATCAGTACTGCAATAAATTGCTCGTTCAAAATATTAGGATTTGGAATTCGGAGGTTATTTCCTAAGATTTGAGAGTTACAGTTTTTTCAAAGATGGTGGAGGTTTTTTTTTTTTTTGGGTTAATAAGTCGTCAGAATTATAAGCAAAGGGACGAAAAATAGTGTCATGTACAAATTTGGGAAAACTTTTAAGGAAATCATGACATTTGAAATTTTGGACAAAAACTGATTTTTGTTATAATGGAGTTTATCATAGATTATTTTTAATTAGAAAACATGAACGAATCAACTAAACATCCGAATGGAACATTCAAAATCAGCCAGAATGTATGAGAGATCGATGTGGACATAGCTAGTGGATACAATTCACCTGATTGAGATTTTTTGGCCATGTTTCACATATTATAATATTAGTATGGCAAATAATAACAAGCACTTAGATATACTTTGCAAGGTGTACCTCATGGGCATGTGTAATACACTCTTCTTCTACACAAGTAGAGCTTTTAGTCCGAATTTTAAGACACTATACGCGCATTAAATTCTCTAAATTTTATCCCCTTTTTTTAGCACACGTTTAATTTTAAACTGATTTTTTTTAATGTTTATCCTATTAGCTTTTATATTATTTTATTTCATAAGATTTTTTTTTGTTAAAATGATGGATTTTATTTTTGGTAAAACTGGATATGTGTACGAGTAAATTTATAAATGAGTAACAATATTTACAAAGATAAATAACGATGCAAATCTTGATCAATAATGATCCCATCCTAGATGAATAACAATACTAAAATAAAGAATATATGTAGGTTTTGCTAGATGAATGATTGTATTTTAATAAATGAATAATATATCGGTGGTGGATGAATAATGCAAACAAAATGAATAACTTTGATCAAGAAAACTAACAAAAGTATATTTTACAATGAGATAGTGTCAGCAACCAAGCTAACAAAATTCTAATTATGAAGTATACTATATAAAAATTTAACAGGAAAACTAGTCATTGTTTTTAACATATAAGGTTTTGAAAGATCCGCCGATTCTCGATATGTTTATGTTGATTGTTTGATTTCAGCAACTCTGCCAAATATTTGACTCTCGACCGATCGAGTTCATTTTGATGAGCATTTTTTTTTGACGCTGATCAAACAAAAACAACATTGCAATATGTGAGATTTCACATTCAATCAAAACTATGTTAATCATCAATAACAAAGGCTATTGAAGATGAAGAATTATATTTAAAATGATGAATAACCATTAAAAATATATAACATATCAGGTTAATATGATGAATAATCATTATATACTAATGACTAACTATTTCACCAATTATGAATACCTTGACAGGGTATGATGATTATCATGTTTTACTTATTAAAATCAGAAAATATAGTGTATTAGGATCATAAATTCGTTAATAGGAATACTTATAGTTTTAATGATGAATAACTATATCTTTATATATGCATAGGCTATTCGAACAATACATTGAACATATAAATAGATGAATAACCAAATATTACGGATGAATATGACCAAAATATACATGTTCCATTTATCTACTCAAATGAATAACAATTAACAGAAAAAAGAATAACAATCGTATAACACCATTATTATGATGAATAACCCAATATTATCGATGAATAATGGCATGGTAACTTCTGAATAATGAACATATATGGAACCCTTCCAAAATCAACAACCAATAGATGAACAAATCTAACAAATTGGTGAACAATCATTTATAATCGAATGCAGAGACCTTAGATACACATAACCTAACCAAAAAACTAAATATGAATAACCAGCTAATAACAATTATTATGATAAATCTGCAAGTTTCAAGGATGAATAATGTCCAGATTTATTAGTCTTTTCCAAAATCAACAACAGAACAATGAAGAAAACTTAAAAATTGATGAACGAAAAATCTATAATCGAATGCACACACCTTATATCTACATAACCCAATCAAAAAAATACATCAATTGTTGAAGAGATTTAAACCCAACCATAAACCTCTGGCGATTCACAAAATCTGAATTTTGTTCTTTTTTCGTAAGAGATCTAAATCCATAAACCTCTGACAATTTATCGAACGGGTTGGAACTAGCAATTCAAAAATACCAATCAAAGATTTTGAGAATTTCAAACAAAATTTACCAGACAAAACACAAAACAGATGAATAATTTCAAATCTTACTGTAATTCTCATATTCAATAGCGTATATTGCAACCAAACTCACGGGATTTGATGCACAATCGGATTTCATCTTTAAAAATACCGCCGACGAGAGGTTTTGATGCCAAATCCCTGGAAAGAATATTTTTGGTTTTAAGATTTTTTTAGTTTGAGACGTCTTTAGATTGGAATAGGAAGTTGAATGGATATGATTAATGATGGTTGAAAATTAGGAGAGATATTAGGAAATTGACAATTTGATATATTTTTTTTTTGCCCTCTTTTTGAGCATTTGAATTTCAAATTAGGTATATCTTGCAAAGTGTACTAGGAGCTCTATATTATAACTGGTATTAGTATTATTTTGTTTGCAATCACTGACTAAGCAATTACTAAGTGGCTTTGATAGGGTGATACATACAGTTCCTAGCAACGAGAAATTAAGAGAGAAAAACATACCTATTCTCTCTAGCTTGCATGCGTAACTCCACTGATTTCCTGACTGTGAAGTCAATATTTTAATGAATTTTTTAGTCAGATTGAAAGTTGGATTCAAGTCATATTCCCGAAATCACTTTCATTGGATAAAATCTAGTGCAGAATACCTATTTGTGGGAAGTCATTTTTATAGTTGTGTGTTGATTAGTACTTTTGCTGAACGATTCAGTGGAATGGGAGCCCTTCTTTGTCTAACAATACAGTAAACTCCTTCAATCTAAGAATAGTTTGAAATATAGATTCTGCTCGTATTAAATTGCATGCTTTCGCATGGTAATTAAAATCGCAATGCTTTCGCAAGCTCAAAAATTCACAAAATGTTCAGTCAAACTAACTATCCATTATACCCGGGTACGAGAATATTTATAGATCATTTAACTAGAGATGAGTACCTTGTTTAGAGGTTCAAGACAGAAATAATGAGTACTTTGATCTTCATGATGAATATGCTTCATGGACCATATACTTCCAGTTGTATCCATCCATTTTGAGAAAGACCATTTTCTTTTAGAAGAGGCTCCCTAACATGGTACAAACTAATCCAGAGGATGTCCTGAATTTGCTATATTGACTCGGTGGCACCTCTACAGTAAAATACCTCAATCATTCAGTTAATTAAATTCAATTTTCAAAAGTATAAAAATCAAAAATAGGAAAGAAAACCAGACTTGAGCACTACGAGTTCATTGAAAGAGTTGAGGAAACAAGGGAGAATCATGTTATCTAACTTGATTATATTATTACGAAATGAAAACCTGTTTTGCATTGAATGAAATCATATATCTTACCTTGAATAATAGAAAATGAAAAAGAAAAAGAAAAGAAACCGTAACAGGATGATCACTCGCACTTACTCTTCCATTGTGTGGCCTATAAGGATTTTGAGATTGTCATTTCCCCATTCCTCCTTCATTTCTTGAATTTCCTTTATTGAGTCAAGGGCATCATAATAGTCATATACCTCAATTATCTCAAGAGTTGAGATTTCAGCAAAACAAGTAGGTAACTCCACCAACCGATCACACCATGACAACACTAATTTCTCTAGACGAGGAAAATTATCAACGGCGGCAGTCCACTTGCGTAACTTCAAGCTGCGCACTTTAAGATATCTGAGATTTGGGAATGTTTCTTCTTCTTCTGGCATGTCCCAATCGTCTCCTATGAATGCATTATACCATAACTTGAGAACTTCAAGATTGTGTAGTCTATAAATTGTTGAAATTTCACTCCACGGAAGCCCAAGCCTTGACAGTGAGAGGCTTTTTAGATTTTGAGGAAACTAAAAGGGATGACCAAGGGGAGAACCACAATAGATTGTGAGTAACTCAAGTTGACTTAAAATTCCAGGTTTACAAACTCCAAGTTCACATCCTTCTCTTTATCCGTATCAAGATAGCATTTAAGTGTACGGATATTGGCAAAGTTTCTGATCACTTCTGCCATTGTTTGGAGACTTGAAAACCATACCTTGGAAATATGATTTAAATTCTCTAAATTGGAGAGATGTTCAACATTCTCCCATGCAAATACCCATCCACCACCATATGTTTTAGACAAATGCTTTAATTTTGTCATGTAACCCAAAGTATTTGGTAGGTGAATCCTCCCACATCCATGAGCAATAAAAGTCTGTAGATTTGAGAGATTGACAAATGACGGTGGAAGCTTGGAGTCACTATATCCAGTTCTCAAGGCCAAGTACTTCAAGTGCGCAAGTGGAAGGATTCCGCTTGGAACGGTGACGAACCCGTAGAATTCATTTAAAACTAAAACGTAGAATTCATTTAAAACTAAAACTCTTAGAAGTTTTGATTGAAAAATCTTGTACATGATACCCATCCAACGCCTGTTGGAATCAAAGTTAAAATCAAAATCCATGCTGACAAACAAAGTGCGTAACCGAGGAGAGATTAGGTTTGACTCCAGAAAATCTTCAACTCTCCTAAAATTAACACTTGTACGGTATAGCGTGGTTGGTTCAGTAAAAGCACCAAGCTTATGCAAAAAATGTTCTTCATTTGCTTTCACCACGCAGAACTCTTGCAACAGATCATGAAGAACGCAATGCCTCACCTTTCCTGCTGACCCTTTCTTAGCAATCATAACTAAATTTCTCTGTATTAACTCTCTCATGTAACTCTCGGCAACGTCCTCTAAGATTTCTTTTTGAGTTCTCGCCACCACGAATCCTTCTGCAATCCATAGCCATGAAAATTCTCGAACGTGTATTTTTCGGTCTTCTTTGAAAACACCAAAGTAAAGGAAACATGGTTTTAGGTACTCTGGCAAGTTGCGATAGCTCAAGTCTAGGGTTTTTATGCATTTATTTGTAATTGATGCAGTACCTTTTTTGAGACTTTGTTCCACTTTGTCCCACTGATCTGGCTCCATACTTGAAAGAAGTCCAACAACAATTAGAATCATTAAAGGCACACCCTTACAGTGTCGTGATATTACCTTCCCACGTTCAAGTAATTCTGGAGGACAGAAGTCTTTAGAACATAGTTTTTTCTCGAACAAATCCCAATTCTCAACATCATTGAGGTGACGAAGCTGGTGAGCAGGTTCGCTGTGTGGTTGGAATTGCATAGCAATATTCTCATGTCTACTTGTCAAGAGAATTCTACTTCCATTGTAATCATTTGGGAATGAATTTTCCAGGTTTCGCCATGCTTCAATATCCCAAACATCATCCAGGACGATCAGATACTTTTTTCCCTTCAAACATTTGCGGAGAGCATTGGCCAAATCATTTTCACTCATTTCTACAGCAAAATCATTTCCAAGACCTTTTAAGCTCTCAAGCAATGAATGAGTGTTAAAGTGATACAATATAGAGGGACTCTGATAAACTTTCTTTGCCATAGATGTTTTTCCCAACCTAGCCATACCAACAATGGAGACGACATCCAAATTTTTTGTACCTCTTGGGAGTCGATTCATGATTGTTTCTGCCTCATCATCCAAGCCCACAAACTGCTCACTGAAAGTAGGAATCTTACCCAATGAGAGTATCTTACTCTTATCGGTTTTAGTACTGTTTTGGACTTTGGTGATCTGTCCCATGCTATGCAAAATTTCCGAATTTCTAATAAGTTTGATATCTTCTATGATGTTATTGAGGGGCACGGCAAGACCCCCGAGGACCCCTCCAATGGCCATATAATCGAGGACAAACTCTGTCTCGTAGGCTATAGCCCAAATGCAACTCCACAAAGTTTGGAGCTTCTCATTTTGATGGAATTGCCCTACATCATCAGCCAACAAAGTTCTTATAAACTCAAGATCATCACTGATACTATGGAACTTATCCTTTTTTAAGGCCAATACTGAATCCGCTTCATATAGATTTACTGACTTCATTTTTCGATAACGGAATCAATAAACCCTAGCAAATTCGTTCGAGGAAAGTAGGACGCTAACTTCAGCGGAAATCTCCGTCCCTCTTGTTGATATGCTCCCTTAACAAGCTCAATGTTTATGTCGAACTCGGAAAACAAAAGCTCAAATTTCTCAGCCATGCCTCCTTCGTCTTTGACTTCAAGAAAAAGAGAGAAAATTATGATTCAGCCTCACTGATCAAGACTTGGATGGTTTCTTCCATTTTCATCCACGCATTATTAACCTCGTCATGGCGCGCTCTAAGAGTGGTTCTCAAGTATCTCAATCCATCGTGTACTTTAAGCATTTGATGATGAAAGATGCATGTAGAACTGGAACCATGGAATAATAACTTTGAAAGAAGCAAGAGGAGGGAATCAACAAAATCTGCCAGCAAAAGTGTATGACTACCTTGAGCAGCACGGTTAGATGACCGTGGTGACACCTTTGAAGCTTCCTTCATGGTTCCCAAATAAATCGCGCAAACATAGGGATGAACAGGCTCGATTTTTTTTCTAAGTTGGCTATAGTCGGAATCGTCAACATCAGGACTATCAGAGGAAAGAAATTGCTTGAAAATGTAGCTCGCGAGATCAAAAACCAAGCCTTGAACATGTAACAAGAGATCTCCCATCAGCGTAGCACCAATTCCTTGAAATCCAACAAAGTTCTTCAAGAATCTCAAGTTTTCTTTTAGGTTATCAAATATAGATACTCTCTTGGCAGTTGGGAGCCAAAAAGAGGAATAACCCAATCCATGATAACAAGGGCTTCTTCCTCTAGTTCCATTTCAAAACAAGAAATGGCCTGAAATGGACCGCATCCCAAAACCCGGCACAGCTTCATCATTGGTTGTGAAATTGAACCAAGGATTTCCTCTCGAATTGCATTCGAAATCTTGAGTTCGAGCCGATACAATTCATTTTTTCCCTTGACTCAACGAGAGCGTATTTGAAGACCTCAAGATTCAAAGAAAGTGCGACATCGGTCTCCTCCCTCACAACCAAGGCAGATTTGCAAAGCTTAACTTAACTCCACTTCTTTGCACATCGGTAAATTACATCAACAAGTCTTCACAAGCTGTCCACCTCAAAATAATTTAATCTCATAAAGGAGATCACTGGCACTACATCATCACTGATCATTCTGGCAATAATATATCTCAACAACTGTCACATTGGAGAATAAAATCGATAAAAGACAAATTAATTAGTCTAGAGTACACGTTTTCTGAAAGACATCACTTAAAGAATTTGATTGTTCGAAAACAGTTTTGGACATGTATTGCCGCTGTTTAACGGATGCAATGAAATATCCTCTCTCTCAAAAAAAAAAATTATCCACATTGAATTTTCAGATGTGTACTAGTACTAGAAATAATACAAATAAAACATTAGATGTGCACTTCGTTTTTAACAAACAGAGGTAATACAATCTATTAATTTAAAAGTTCAAGAAAAACATATATACTCTATTATATCTTTAGCTTTTTTTCCCTGGGATTCAAAGAGAAGGATAGTGGCTTTTGTTCGATCACAACCGCTGAGTTGTGGGCTTGTTCTAGGGTTTAAATCTTGCTTGGGAGCTAGGGTTGAAATAAATTATAGCGGAGGTGGATAACCAAAGCGTGATTAAGATGGTGACAGGTGAAGACTAAGGAAGAGGTTTTAGGCTTGCATCGAGGCTTAGTATAGACCATTTGGGATCTGTTAAGAAGTCATGGTCTGTTGAATTGAATCACATATTTTGAGAGTCATATTTTGTCGCGAATTCACTAGCAACGCTAGAATCCACTAGCTCTGGAGGGTTCTTGCAATTGGATGATCCGCCTGTGGTATCAGCCTATGCTCTGATAACACAGGCTGCCGGGAGCCCCACACATCATCAGATAACTCACTATTCCAATGGGAATACTGTGAGACACACTTTAAATGGAGGGAACCGTAGCTTAGACATTAAAACCCTGTTTCTCTTTAGCAATTTTTGATATATAAGATCCTCATGAAGAGGCGACTACAGAGCATACTTAATGCTTTGAGTAGAGAACAACCGGAAACCTATATGCTTGACTACTTAAGAGGATATAGAAGAAAATTAAAAGCTTTAACTAGACATGAGCTTGTATAAACAAGGGATGTTATTTATTGAACTTGTTTTGCTGAAACCATTACAAGAGTCCCCTATTTATAGACTCGAACTGGAAGTGTTTTACACACTAATTTACAAACATTTCAAATCCGGGATAGGATTCATAAAATATTTTGGACACTTGTCCTAAAGATAAGATACACAATCAAGGTAGATATACTTGAGTTGTTAATACACACCACCTATTTTAAAGTGGAAATAAAGGACATTACACACCTTCCACTTTTACAAAAGTAAAAGACAATACTTTAGACAAAACACACTCAACATGGGATGATGAGTCATAAAGTAAGATGCTTGCTCAATCATCCATTGCTTCATTGTAATGGTACTCATGGTAAAATCTGGAGTGTGGAGTAGACCAGAAGATTCCAAAACCGTCCCAATCAATTTAGTGGTCACAGTCATAAAAACCACAACTTTGATATTGATTTTCTAATTCAGCTATCTTTTTATCCAGATCCGGATACTTTTGTATTATTTCTTCAAGCTCTTTCTCAATATCATTCCAATTTGGATTGCATTCAGACGAAGAAACCTTTTATTACAACATATGGGAACAAACTTCGGAGGAGAGACTTCTTCATGTCACAAGTCTTCATCGGGATTAGGAAGTATGAAGTGTACTTTATCTTTTTTCAAGGAGACTGTAAAAGGCAGTTTATTATCAATATATTTTTTCAGTTAAGAACTTGAGTTGTTCTTTGTGTTGAAAAATATGTCCTCTGATGTTTATCCATTTGTAGTAATAAGAATCGGGAACAAGCTTCTTTCCTCTTCCTTGATAATATGGTCTATGGAAGATAATAATAGCTTTATCAGGCTGGTGATCTTTATGATGCTCAAGCTCATGTTGACAAAAGGTATCCCATCCTTCAATTTCATCGAACCAGTGAAGGAATGTCCATAAAAATGAATCCTTATTCCTGTGGTCCTGAATAAAGTTAAATAGAGGGATTATCGGGACTTCTACTGGAAAATGGTGTAAAACCGCCATGCACCATAAATACCAAAGTCCTGCTTCAGGGAGAGGAGTAGAAGTTGACAGGGTTAAGACAAAAGCAAAAGGATAATCCAACGAGAAACATCCTTTTTCAAAAGGTAGGTTTAAAGAACTGTGAAATTTGGCAAGGTAAAAAAGAAGGTTTTCTCTGACAAACTTTTGAATGTCACCAAGATTTCTAAAATATGGAGCTTCAGGTGGATAAGAGTAGACAGAGTAAGTTTCAAAAGAGGAAGAGGAATAAGAAGCCATGAAGATTGATATAGAGTTTTTGGCTGACAAAAGGTGGATGGTTTGAGATGGTCTAGATAGAAGATCTGGAAGAACAGTGGTAGTCCCTTTTATATGTTTAACTGTGAATTGATATTTTGAAAACCAGTCCTTTAAGCATAGCAATGGTGGTTTTGGAACACCCTGCAAATTCATGATTCCTGGAAAAGATGTATTGTCCATGAGCACAGTAAAGTGATGGCCAATCAGATGAAATTCAAATTTTTTAATTTCATATTTCACGGCCAATATTTCTTTGTAGATGGCGTAGTAATGCTTCTCTGACTCCTTGAATTGTCCACTAGCATGTCCGCAATAATGCTTCTTTTCATCTGTTTCTTCAATGAGAATGGCCCGACAATGTCCTTTACTTGTATCTGTCTGTAAGATCCTGTGGCCATTCTCATTTTGCATCAATGGAAAAGTGAGGGATATTCTTATTTTCACATGGGTACAAGCCAGGCCACAGTACAGGCCAGAGGATCTTACAGACAGATGCAAGCAAAGAACACAGGGGGGCCATTCTCATTGAAGAAACAGATGGAAAGAAGCATTATTGTGGACATGCCAGCGGACAATTCAAGGAGTCAGAGAAGCATTACCATGCCATCTACAAAGAAATATTGGCCGTGAAATAAGGAATTAAAAAATTTGAATTTCATCTGATCGGTCGTCGCTTTACTGTGCAGATGGACAATACATCTTTTCTAAGGATCATGAATTTGCAGAGTAAGGGTGTTCCAAAACCATACGCTTAAAGGACTGGTTTTCAAAATATCCGTTCTCAGTTAAGCATATAAAAGGGACTACCAATGTTCTTCCAGACTAACTATCCAGACCATCTCAAACCATCTATCTTTTGTCAGCCAAAAACACTATACCAATCTTCATGGCTTATTCTTCCTCTTCCTCTTTTGAAACTTACTATGTCTACTCTTATCCATTTCAAGCTCCATATTTTTTGAAATCTTGGTGACATTCAAAAGTTTGTCAGAGAAAACCTTCTTTTTTACCTTGCCAAATTTCTCAATTCTTTAAACCGACCTTTCGGAAAAGGATGTTTCTCCTTGGATTATCCTTTTGCCTTTGTCTTAGCCCTGTCTACTTCTACTCCTCTCCCTGAAGCAGAACTATGGTATTTATGGTGTATGACAGTTTTATACCGTTTTCCAGTAGAAGTCCTTATATCCCTCTGTTTAACTTTATCCAGGACCACAGGAATAAGGATTCATTTTTATGGACATTCCTTACCTGGTTCGATGTAATTGAAGGATGGGATACCTTTTGTCAACATGAACTTCAGCATCATAAAGATCACCAGCCTGATAAAGCTATTCTCATCTTCCATAGACCATATTATCAAGGAAGAGGAAATAAGCTTGTTCCTGATTCTTATTACTACAAATGGATGAACATCAGAGGACATATTCTTCAACACAAAGAACAACTCAAGTTCTTAACTGAAAAAATATGTTTTGATAATAAACTGCCTTTTACAGTCTCCTCAAAAAAAATAAAGAACACTTCATACTTCCTTAATCCCGATGAAGACTTGTGTCATGAAGAAGTCTCTCCTCTAGAGTTCGTTCTGATATGTTGCAATAAAAGGTTCCTTCCTCCGGATTACAATCTAAATTGGAATAATATTGAAAAAGAACTTGAAGAAATAGAACAAAAGTGTCCGTATCTGGATAAAAAGATAGCTGAATTGGAAAATCAATATTAAAGTTGTGGTTATTATGACTATGACCACCACTACATTGATTGGGATTTGGAATCCTTTGGTCTACTCCACACTCCAGAGCTTACCATGAGTACCATTATAATGAAGCAACGGATGATTGAACGTGCATCTTACTTTATGACTCATCATCCCATGTTGAGTGTATTATGTCTAAGGTATTGTCTTTTACTTCTGTAAAAGTGGAAGGTGTGTAATGTCCTTCACTTCCACTTTAAAATATGTGGTGTGCCTTAATAAGTAAGGCATATCTACATTGAGCGTGTATCTTATCTTTAGGACAAGTGTCCAAAATATTTTAGAATCCAATGCCGGATTTGAAATGTTTATAAATTAGTGTATAAAAGACTTCAAGTCTGAGTCTATAAAGAGGGGACTCTTGTAATGGTTTCAGTAGAACGAGTTCAATAAATAACATCCCTAGTTCATACAAACTCATGTCTAATTAAAACTTTTAATTTTCTTCTATATCCTCTTAAGTAGTCAAGCATATGGGTTTTCGATTGTTCTCTACTCAAAGCATTAAGTATACTCTGTAGTCTCCTCTTCATGAGGATCTTCTACATCAAAAATTGCTAAAGAGAAACATGGTTTTAATGTCTAAGCTACGATCACCTTCATCTAAAGTGTGTCTCACAGTATTCCCACTGAGCCTAGGAGTTGCCGTTTATAGGAATAATGAGTTCTCAGATGATGTGTGGGGCTCCCGGTAGCCTGTGGTATCAGAGCCTTTGAATCCGACTGGTTTGAGTTAAGAACACCAACATGATATAGTTGGTGTTTTATACCAACATTTAGTATTGTCTTAGTATTCAGGTTTTGCCTCCTTCATTGTACAACTGAAAAAACAAAGGATCCTCAAGTCCTCAAAATCTGGCAAAACGAACGAAGTTCTTCTAGAATCTGATCGTTTAGCCTTTTGATTATCGAACAGTAGATACTCTATTGCCACATGATGAAGAAAATTCTATTACAATATTTCTCAATATCTGTCAAACTGCTGTAGAGATAACAGAAATACCCAAAAGTTTCTAAGAAACATCAAAATATTTCTAGGAGGCATTTTTAATTTTGGTTGAGTAATTTTTGTTTTCTCGAATTTCAATAGTTTGACCGTTTGTCAAAAAATGCAAAATTGTTCCATGATCATAAAGGGTTGGGTAACAGTTTCTTTTACTTAACCACAACTATTTATAAATTTTTTTTAAAAAAAAACAACTGCACCCTCTATCCATAAATAATTGACCTATTTTGGACTTTTTATTTTATTAATTGGGAGAATAGGCCTTTTCATCCCAAGGTTTGAGGCACACCATCTAAAACATCCCAAAGTTTAAAAGCATGTCATTTTCATCCCAAACTTCTCAAAAATATGTAATATTAGGACATTTGTTAATTTTTCTCAAATTATTAACGGCGATATTTCATTCAGTTTTAGCTATTTTCTTATAAGGTGGGAGTTAGTGGAACGTGTTAAATGATTAAAAGAATTAGGGACGGAGAAACAGAATAAAGTACCACCACTAATTAATTAACTGGAGTTAAAAATTTAACGAATATCCTAATGTAACATATTTTTAAAAAATTTGGGATGTAAATGGCATGTTCTTAAACTTTGGGATGTTTTGAATAGTGTGGCCTAAACTTTGGGATGAAAAGACCCATTTTCCCTTTATTAATTTGATATCTATATAGAGAATGATTCTCGCGTATGTCACCGTGCAATTAATCAATATCATAAAAATTAATTATTAACTTGATTACCGTTAAAATAAAATTAACTTTATTGTTTAAATTTATTATTATTGCTTCCAGAGATATATAAATGCTATTGGATCTTTATTTTTAAAAATCTAACAACAAATGAACCTTATGTTATCTCATAATTTTAGTTACATAATCTCTTCATGTTATCTTATAAAATATGTAACTTTACGTTTGAAACTATTATCATAATGTGCAGGACAATCACTAGTTGGCCTAAGAATAAAAATATAAACTAGATAATTATTTAAAATAAAAATAATACTCAATAATTATTGGAACAGTTTTGGGCTTGTCAATTAACTTCGAGCTACTTCTTCTATTCTATATGGTTCGTGTGTTATAATAAAATCCCATTTGTAGATTGATATCCTTGTTTGCAATCAAATGAGTAGGAACTAATAATCAACACATACGATTATAGGTTACATTTTAAGAAGAATATTATTGCCCTTCACTTATTATAATAATCGTTCTGTCTCAAAATGATTGTTTGCATTCAATTTTCATATTTAGGGCTGTTTGTCGAACAAAAGATAAAATTTTAAATTAGACAGTCATTTTGAGATGAAGGGAGTATGACGCAATTGTTATTAATGTTGAAAACATTTAAACTCCACAAAGTTAAATTCCGGATGGTTTAAATTCAATATCACTCTACCTATTTATGAACCTATACGTTAGCGGAAAGCAAAACATATAAGGAAAGTATAACGTATAATGAAAATAAAATAAAATAATTAAAACTTGAATGGATATTGAATTTGTCATGCATAAAGCCAAAAAGGGAGGGGAAAAAAACCTGTATAGTTAAGAAGAAGTAATTAGCTTTTCCATTTGTCCACTCAAATTCCCGTTCAAGAAGCCTTCCTGCCAAACTGTCATTTTTAGTTTGAGGGAGAAGAAAAATAAACGGATTATTATATGAAAAATATACCCGAGTTTATTCAAGCAACTAAATGCATATAATCTTTAAGAAAACAAAGTTTTGGTTTTTTTGGTGTTAAACTATATATTAAGGATGGGGCTTTTGGCACAAATTAACCAAAACTAAATCTGCATATATACACATTGTTGAAGAATGTTGATGGAAGGACAGATAAATCTGCAGATTACCGATTTAACACAAAGAGCTTGCAAACAAGCAGGATTCATATGTCTTCTTCCACAATTAACTTCGCCAAGAAGATCTTGAGCTGCCTTGCTTATATATACTTATTCATCCTCTCCAATATTCTTAAGGGATCTAACATTTTTGTTTTTGTTTTTGTTTTTTTGGAGAAACAACACAACAAGACACAAGAAATTAGTAAAATCTAATGAAACTGAAAGAAAGTTGGCTCTGTTTTAAATTTTCTTTGGGGAGGTGGTTTTTTCTGGGTTCAAGAGTTTTGATGGATAGACGGCTATAATTGAAAAATGTGGTTTGTGTTAGGGAAGAAATATGAGATAAGCTGATAAGGTAAGAAAATGCTCCACAATATGCAAAGTGCGCAAACTGATTCGTGTTTTCGCTTTTCCTTTTTCTTTTTTCTTTTGCTTTTGCTTACCTTTTTTACCTTTTCTTTTTTTTTTCTTTCTTTTCCTTTTCGTTTTTTTTTTTTTAAACAACGAAAGAAGACAAATACCTAGATGGCTACATTGTAATCACAGTATTTTTCTAACAACAAGCTTTACAGGAGTAATAGAAGCAGTTAATTAAAGAAACTAGGAAGCCTACACTTCAAAGTTTGTAGCTCAATGTATTCCAGTTTTGGATCCTACCTGCTTGATACTATTTCCCTACATAACTAATTTGAACATCGCAACACTTACTGTATGATATTTTAGTGTTAAATACTCTATACGTTCGGAAATGACTATTCAATTTAGAGTTTCACTTTTACTATAATTTGAAAAAAAAAAATTAAAAGTAAATAATAATTTTAAGACATAATGAATATTTATGTTTTTATTCCTCGTAGAGGAACTGGCAGGCGGTGCATTGTCGTCGAACATGGCATTCCATCCTCCGTAGAGCAGAAGCAAGGAATAGTTGATAAGGCGCACTTGTGAAGAAGAAATTATTGAGTTATTGTTTCAAAAGACAGTAATTTAAAAAAACAAATTAGAACCAAAAGCAATTCAACAGGAAACACCAATTTCATAACAATTCATGTATCGAAAAGTATATATTGTGCAGCGAGATGTTAAAATTCGAAAATGGAAAAAAAAAAAAAGAAAAAGAAAGAAAGAAGGATATATGTTGACCAATTCATGAAGTTCAATGAACCAACCTTATAACTCAATCCAATGAATTAAATTAACTAATCATAAAGCAAAAATCAATCTAAGCATTGAAAAGAAGAACCAATAGATATAAGCAAGGTTCGTGAATTCAGAATTTTAACTAGAATCGTTTTGTAGTTAGAATCGCGAGTGTAGAATCGTATCTTAGAATCGTAATATTTTCACAAAAGTTAATAAATTTTGTTGAGATAGTAGTTACTATCATAAAGATTACTTACGTAATTTAAAATTTGCTTTCTGCTGTCATCTATACCTTTTTAAATGTAGTTACTTAAATTTAGATGCTACACGCATCAACCGTTATAACTCGATAAACAAATAGAAAAAATCAAATGTCTGAAATCACAAGTAAATATACAATTTCAAACTTCAATAGTTTAATTAAAACAAATAACACCTACCACTGTCTCCTAAAAATCCACCATCAAAATACATCCTAAAAAATTAAATTAAAAGACCATATCCAAAATCAACTACGATTTCGAACCAAATTACTCATCATCATCAATAGGATCATCGGCATTATAATCATTGGTACAGCAGCACGCTTCAAATTTCGACCGGATGCCTCAAGAAAGTTCGAAATATAGTAAATTTACTCTAATTGCTTTGATTTAAGGGGTGGATTTTGAATTTGGGGCTTACAATTTTCATAGAAGAAAGGAAACAATGTTATTTTTTTCTCCAATGGGAAGTATGCGAAAGTGATGACCGATGGATGTATTCCAGTTAATTTTTCATTTCATTAGTAATATATGTTTTTTACATGATGTAAAAAAATTTTATAGTCCAAAATTTTAGCTCAATAAAGTTTAATTCAAAAAAAAAAGTCCAAAAAGTATCCAAATAGTCAAATTTCTTAAAATCGTATAAAATCGTAAAACCGTAAGATTTTAAAGATTTTAAAGATTATGACGATTCTACTAAGATTCTTATACACAATGAGATTTTAATAGACTTAAAATCGATACGTACAGTACATTAAAATCATAAAATCGTAAATTTTAATACTTAAAGTCGAGATTTTAACAATACTGGATATAAGATCTATGACCCTCAGAATTAATAAATGAAAAAAAATTGCTATATATGTCACTATCATGCAAACTAACACGACATATAAGTCTCATATTTGAAGGTATAAATTTTTATGTAACAAAAATAAAATAAAAAATGAAAAGCTCTCTCAAGAACTATTTCAAGAAAGTAAGAAAACCTTACATTATATCATATATGAATAGGGGCCACAAATTTTATTGGCTTAATGGGCAAGAATAAGATTTTTCAATTAGTCTAAACTCAAAATAATCAGATGAGACACAATAAGATCAAGCATCATCACCAAGCAAGGCACCACGATTCGGTCATTGTCCTTTTTGAGAATGATTAGCATGCAATACAAAAAACATTAATTTTTTAATTAAGGTTAACAATGTAAAAATGATCACATCATGAACAAAAGCAGCACGATCACAAACTAGTAATTACTACTTTTATTCACAAGCCTTTAGAGTGTTAGCAACATCGATTACAAATCGGTATTTGACATCAGCTCTGGCAAGACGCTCCATTGCAGTATTAACGTAATCCATGGGGATGCCTTCAATGTCACAAACTATGTTGTGTTCTGCTGCAAATTCCAGCATTTCTTGTGTCTCCTGAATCCCTCCAATCCCACTTCCTGCTATTGTTTTTCTTCCTGACAAAAAAAGTCACACTCCTTGAATTAGATTTGATGACTTAAAACTGATGCAATAGCCATTTTAATGTAGTTTATTCTTTTTTTCCCTTCAAAAACTCCAAATGAACCATATCTACTTACCTGCAAGCAGAGGAAACACTGGCAGCTCGAGTGGTCTACTCGGAGCCCCAACCAAAATAAGCTTTCCATGAGATTTCAACAGACTAATCAATGGGAGCAGAGGATGAACAGCCGATACCGTGTCAATGATCCCGTCCATCGTATTAACAGCAGCCTAATTGCATCATGTACAGCATGTTAATCAAACCAAAAACTCAGCGTTACCTCCCAAAAAGAGATCTACCTGGCTCGAATCTGGATTTGCACAATATAAAAAAAAAAAAAAAAACAGAAAAGAAACTTCTGGTAACTAAAACATGTCATCCCTACCTTCATCTGATCATCATCAGTGCTGACTAAAAACGAATCGGCTAAAAGATGATCAATTGCCTCTTTTTCCTTATGCGGAGATGTACTAATAACAGTAACCTTCGCTCCAAAAGCCTTTGCAAACTTGACACCAACATGGCCTAATCCACCCAAACCTACAATTCCGACATGCATTCCGGGCTTATCCAAACCAAAGTGCCTCAGTGGACTGTAAGTTGTGATCCCAGCACACAGAAGTGGTGCTGCACCATCAAGAGGTAACTTGTCGGGTATTCTCACAACAAAATGCTCATCAACAACTACAATGTTAGAATAGCCTCCGTACGTTGGGGTTCTGTCGTGATAGGTTGAATTGTAAGTCGCAATGGCTGTTTTACAATAGTTTTCGAGATTGTTATCGCAATCCTCGCATGATAGACATGATCCAACTATGCATCCAACCCCAACTTTATCTCCAATTTTGAACTTGATTGCTCTGTTGCCTACTTCTGTCACCACACCAACAATCTCATGCCTATATATCCACCAACACAGAAAACTTCTAAAAGTCTTTGGAAGTTTGTTTCGTATGCAAAACATTGATGAACTGTTCAAAAACAAGTACGGAAGTTCCCAATTTTTTGGAGGTAAAGAGAGGGATATGCTTACCCTGGAATAATAGGATACTCTGTAGAGCACCAGTCATTCTTAGTGAAATGAAGATCGGTGTGACATATTCCGCAATACATTATTTTGATTTGAACGTCTTTTTCACCGGTTGTCCTGCGGAAAATATCATCTTACAAGCATTTCCAATTAACCCAAATCAATAATCAGACTCAAATTTCATCGCATTAGTTTACCTTCTGGAGAAACGGAAAGGAGACAGAACACCAGAAGCATCAGAGGCAGCCCAACCAAATGCCTTAATGGGATGCTGTTCTTCTGGTGAATTTTCTTCCATGGCCTTAATTGGTGGTATATATCAACATATGTATCAAGAAAATACTAGTGATGATTCTCGATGTACACATACAACTGACGAACTGAACAATTTCGATGTGAATATATAAGATTAGTAAGAAACTGTTTATCCAGTTACAGATTTTTTCACAACATAGTGAGAAAATATTAGAAATTTTGGCGGGCCCCTATGGGTGCTAAGTGGAGGCGGTTACAAAGCACTTTGAAAGGACAAAAAAATTCTATTTTATGTCAAATGTTCCTGTTGGTTTTAGATTTAGAATTTGCTTTCGGTTTTCAACCATAAACTATCGGGGTAGGGAATAGTGTTAATTAGTTTGTTTATTTGGGATATGGTACGGGAAGCAAGTGCGGAAAACAAGATTGTCAATTACAATAATGTCATAATGGACTTCGATTACGTGCAAAATGATGGCACTGGATCAATCATGCGCTTTGGTCAACATGAACCAGAAACATAACATGGGTCTTAAACTTTGAAGCTGCAAAAAGAAAACGACTAGCAATATTTCTTCTGATATATGAAGCCAGCTCAATTAGATAAAAGAATCATCATTCCTTAATTAAAAGTTGTAGCTGACAATGTGTGAGTAATAGTCATGCTACTGATCATCAGTACATTAATAGCACTTGGTTTTATATTTACAAGTCTCCAAGCTCTCCAGCTCACGCAAATCACCTTCCCAAGAGGGTGATTAGTGGTCGGTTCTAGATCATCAAAGGCATTTTAAAAAATGGTGAACTGTCCAAAAGGTCACTAAATTATTTGAAAATTCGAGTGTGATCACTGGTAAATTTTAATTTTTCCGGAACACTACACTTACGAACAAAACTTGAAATTGGTCATTCGGTTAACTTTCTCTATTAGAAAATTAGGGCTTTGAACGTCCAGTGCAAAATTACTGTGCATCATCTTTGACTTCTTTTTTGTGCCGAAAAAAATCACTTTCAACCGTGGGAAAGAAAAGAAGGGTAAAAATCTCTCAAACATAAAATATTCAGAACGATTGTGGATGAGTTAGAAAACAAGTCTTGGACTCAGAATCGAGGACTTACGGTTTACTTAGGTTTGTAAAAGAAATAAAAAGAAAGAGATAGTGGAACAAACAAAATGGCTCGATTTATATACAAAAAGAAAAAGACTTAGCGCCAACAGGGAACTCCCGATCGATAGCACGCTATTACAATGACTCAAATATTAGCACCCAAATAGACGTAGCTGATGACACGCTATGTCACGTGTTGGAAAAATTGAAATGCGGTATTTGTGATGAACAATGACTTCTTTAAGAAGTAGAAAAATCCGAGACTCGTGAAAACACGATTTCCTTAAAACATATTTGCCCCTTCCTAAGGTGCTAGAGGATCGTAGGCAATTGTTTCCCAGGATACAATGGAGAAACGTGAAAACTACTTAGTACTAAGTAGTTCCACCGGCGAACTGGAACTTAGAAAATATTTGATGGACACCAAGGAAGAGGAAGAAAAGACTAAAGCAAAACTTATGAAGAAAATTGAGGTGCTTAGAATTGAACAATGAGCCACTATTTATATCATGAAGAGACCCTTTGAATTCAGCCAAAAGACCCAACGAGTTTCTCTTTTCAATTCACTTTAATTGTAACAGAATAATTGTGAGTCAAATGTTTAGTGCTTGTTTGGACAACGTTTTGTTTTAATTTTTGATTTAGATTTGAGAGGAGATTTCAGAGGTAGTTTAGTTTTTTATTTAGAAAGTATTATAGTATAGTGACCATTTATGAAATTAAAATTGTTCAGTGACCAAAATGAAGATTTTACAATAGTATAACGACCAAACACAAGACTTTACAATAGTTCAGTGACCAAAAGCAACACTTTACAATAGTTTAGTAACCAAACGCAATGAAGACTTTACAATAGTTCAGTGACCAAAACGAAGACTTTACAATAGTGTAATGAGCAAACACAACATTTTAAAAGGTAAATTAAAAAGTTGTTTGGATGATATTTCTTTTTCATTGGATTTTGTGTTTAAGAGGTAAAATGGGTGAAAATGAAAAATGAGTTATTGGACAAACAAACACTTAAAATTTGTAACAACTCAAGCAATTGAATAATTTATTTTGCTCATTTAAATGAATTAATCCCACAAATTCAAAGCTAAAACTGTCAATTTTATTGTAGCAAATTAATTCCCGTGCTTAATGAAATATTATATTCATTAACTCCCTAATAATCATTGGTAATCAATCCGGTCAAATTCGGATTAAATGAAAATCGTTTGGAATTAATTCAAGCAACAAAAGTCTCTCTATTATTTGACTGGAAAATTAATCTCAGACAGAGCAAACGTGGGTTGATTAGGTCCATGAGAGTTCGGTCCGACATTTGTGTCTGCAAGCTGGGCACATATATGAGTTAAGCTAATTCCGATAGCATAAACTCAACTTTTCCAATCTACGAAAAAACAATTCTCATTTAAATTAATAGCTCATTTCCAACAACCCCCCACATGAATGGGACATTGGTTTGACTCGATGGAGATGGTGTTCACCAACTGATTCCTGCAAAGAGAAAGTAGGTGTTACCCTTTGAAATTCCTCCTTGTAAAGTATGCTTACTTTACTAGCTGTCCAGTAGACACGATGTCCTTGAACTGTCCGGCTGTATTGTGTAAAGAAACCTACATACAATACACAGGATCCCTTTCTTTTTAGTTCCGTTCTCATGGTTTTGTTCATTTTGGCCATGAACACGACCTGGTTCTGCGAGAGTTTCTAAAGAACTGAGCCTTAACAGTTCTCCTTTGAAGCGGTCCCACTTCTCTCTTACATAGGTAACTTCTTAAGTCTAGAGTAAATGATATTACTCACTTAAGTGTCAGTAAAGCAACCATTTGCTATCCTTTTCCATCATATCACTGTTTGATGACAGGAATGAGTTGAGATTACCCCTACAGTGACCACACCAAGTCTTATGATTAGGTTGTCCTTTTGAACCTAGATCTTGGGATCTCCAGTCAACTAGGTTGGGTTTTCCTTCTTAAGACTTTTACACTTTACAGGCTATCTCATTCTTTTTGTCATTTTCTCAACTATCGTTTGTTTAATACACAGATTAGCGGATCCGCGATATTATCTTTTGACTTCATACAGTTAAGCAAGATATCTATAGTTGAGAACAGTTGTATAATGATACTACATCTGTGACAAATTAATGTCTTGGACTACCATTATACAACTGACTACGTGTCATCCACATCTATGATTAATAGATCAATAGCACATATCCCCATTTAAAAATAGCGATATCATTTTGCCTCTGTCTCGCAACTATCCGATATACACATTTCGGATTTCATTGTGAAACCGGCTATCACAATCTAGTTTGGGGATTTCCAAAACACGTATGTTCAGGCTAGAATAACCATAGCCACTAGTGTTGTTTGAGTCATTGCTACTATATATCCAATTTGTATATGTGTACACTTCCAGCACGGTTGGATATCTAATATGATGTAACTCAACACTACGAGTATATCGTACGTACTTTAGTACTCTAACATTGACTGTCCATATTAACAGCCCAACCCAATGCTTGATTACTCGTATTTGCACTTCACTAGCTTACTTCATCAGCATTTATTGTAGCAGAACTCATTAGAAGCACTATTCTCTCGATCATCTATGAGTATTCTACCAAAGTAGTACTCTCCACATAACTAGAATAATCGAAGAATATCATCTAATATGGTTCTAGCAACTCTACAATTATTTTTGCTCAAACTCTAAAAGAGTTTTGTCTATGATGAGTTTGACTCAAAATAAGACCATTGCATCCACGTGATTTTAAATAGTAAAATCACACCGGTAAGTTCCACATGCTAAACACGGACTTAACGTATTAATAGACTTACTACCGACAATTTAGTATGTCTTTCAAATAGGCATCAAATGCCTTAGTCTTTCCATGTCCCATTGACATAGACATATTTTGACATACTCTTTAACTCTTATAAATGATTTTTGGATTTGTTCCAAGACCATAAAAGAGTTTACCGATCTTATTATTGGTATTTAGAGCTTGAAACCCTTGGGTTGCTCCGTATTTAATTTTCCATTGAAGAAAACATCATTTGATCTCGATCTCAACACGAGAGAATACATATCAAGTAATCTAAACAAACTCATTGTTTATTTACGTTGATTCCTTATGTGACATTATCTTATTTTTAAGTATGATTCTCAAAAATAAAATCGACACTCTTTATGGTTGCTCCATAAAGATCCATCACAAGAATTAATAAGTTCGTAAATCATTCCCAACAAATGTGATTCAAATCATTCCTAAATGATTTTCATTTGGTTCCTAGCCACATCTTGGTTTCTTCAACTTGAACCGTTTCCTTTCCAAAAGAATTACATATTCTTTTTTATCACACTATAGTGTTTTTTTGTAATTTTGACAAGTTCAAAATATACACAAAGAACCCCTACATGGTACTGTCATGTACTCATGCCCTGTAAGGATTTTATCTACCAATTAGGATTCCTCTTTATTTCCTTTAATGCAAGTATCTCCACCAGATACTTTGATACTTACAAGTATTTGATTGCATTGCTCATATAAGACCCTCACACTCGCAAGTGTTTATAGGGTGGTCACAATTTCTTTCATGATACCATAATAAGGTAATCGCTTGACAATAAACTATCCCCCACATTTGGGTGATATTGAACTGAAATTATCGTTTTCACAATTTTTTTCAAAAATTAATGTGTATTTTTCACGTTCATATTTCTATTGGATAGAGGTAACTATGGTAGACACTTCATAAATAATTCTATGTTGTGTAAAGAAGTCATCTATTGGTGTCTCACTCACCACTTGTAGCACTTCTCCAATATACATTACTTTATTGATTTTATTCTCAACCTTAGTCTCGTAGAGAACAAATTCTCTTTATAGACTGTATTCTATTGAGAACAAACCTCTATTCGTATCTAGAAGATAGAACTCACTAGGCCACAGTTCATCCCATTCCACGCATGGAATTTCCATTCTTTTTCCATTTCTCACCAAAGTGGATTGGAACAAAGAGTCATAGTTCTCACCACAAAATTGAGAATCATTGCTCGTAAACCAAATAGTTGGTTACAATTCTCATTCAAATTAATAGCTCA